ATTGAGCATAAAATAAAAAATAACTTCAGCCAAAGAGCATAACTGGCATTATACTCAGGCCCATCAATTGGTATGGAAAAAAATAATTTTAACAGGTCTCAAAAAATCAATCACAATTCAAAAAACATCATCATCATCATCATTACAGCCCTTCACAAGTCCACTGCTGAACATAGGCCTCCCCCAAAGAATGCCACAAAGCACGGTCCTGAGCCACCTGCATCCATCGACTTCCTGCATATCTTACCAGGTCGTCACTCCATCTAGTGGGGGGACGCCCTACACTTCGCCTGCCGGTACGAGGCTGCCACTCGAGAACCTTTCTTCCCCATCGGTTGTCGGTTCTTCGAGCTATATGGCCGGCCCATTGCCACTTCAGCTTACTAATCCGTTGGGCTATGTCGGTCACTCTAGTTCTACTGCGGATATCCTCATTTCTGAGTTTATCACGCAGAGAAACTCCGAGCATAGCCCTCTCCATAGCTCGCTGAGCGACCTTGAGCTTTCTCATCCGGCCAGCAGTGAAGGACCACGTCTCAGTTCCGTATGTCATCACTGGCAACACGCACTGGGTGTACAGTCTCGTTTTCAAGTTTTGAGGTATACCTGACGAGAAGATGTGCCGTAATTTCCCGAACGCTGCCCAACCGAGTTGAATCCGTCGATTGACCTCTCGGTCGAAGTTGGACTTACCTAGTCGGACTATTTGTCCCAGGTAAACATACTCGTCAACAACTTCGAGCTTAGTGTTCCCAACAACTACCGACATAGGTGTGACATGGACATTAAACATGATCTTTGTTTTGTCCATGTTCATCTTAAGACCTATCCGTTGGGAAACACTATTGAGGTCATTGAGCATAGTGCTTAGGTCCTCCAGCGATTCTGCCATAAGGACTATATCGTCGGCAAATCGAAGGTGAGTGATGTACTCGCCATTGATGTTGATACCGTATCCTTTCCAGTCCAGAAGCTTGAAAACATCTTCCAATGCAGCGGTAAAGAGTTTCGGGGATATGACGTCACCCTGTCTTACACCTCTCTGCAATTGGATAGGTTTCGTACTCTGGTTCTGTACTCGGATAGCCATCGTAGCCCTACTGTACAAGCACTTCAACACTTCGATATACCGACAGTCAACTTGGCACCGCTGAAGGGACTGCAGCACCGCCCAAATTTCGACGGAATCAAAGGCTTTCTCATAGTCCACATACGCCAGACATAGTGGCAAATTGTACTCCTCGGACTTCTGTACAATTTGCCGAAGGGTATGTATGTGGTCTATGGTGCTAAAGCCTTTTCGGAAACCGGCTTATTCGGGAGGCTGGAAGTCGTCAAATCTGCGCGCGAGACGATTCGTAATGACTCTCGAAAACAGCACGTAGACGCGGCTCAGAAGGGAAATCGGTCTGTAGTTCTTCAAGAGAGCGTTGTCGCCTTTCTTGAAGAACAAGACCACCGCACTTCTGCTCCACGCCTCCGGCGTAATGCCACCATGGAGGACGGAATTAAAGAGCTTCTGAAGGACTTCAAGTACCGGTTTTCCACCCGCTTTCAGAAGCTCCGCTGTAATTCCATCCTCGCCTGGGGCCTTGCCGTTTTTAAGGTGCTGGAGAGCCATTCTAATCTCGCTCAGACTGACGTCCGGGATATCATCGGAATAATGTCGGATAAGACTCGCTCTTGGATCGTTACTCACACTTGCGTGCGGCTCCAACGATGACGTGTACAGCTGCCCATAGAACCTTTCAATCTCACTCAAAATCTCAGGTGCCCCGGAAACGATGCTGCCACATTCTGTCTTCAGCTTTGACAGTTGGCGCTTTCTGGCAGACAGATCTCTGGCAAAGACTTTGGAGCCTTGGTTCCGCTCGATCGCTTCTTCAATACGAGCTGTATTGAAGTTGCGTAAGTCCCGCCGCATGCATTTGGAGATCTGTCTGTTCAGTTGCCTGTATGCTGTTAAATCTGTTGAAGAATGTAGCTTCATCTCCCGTCTAACAGCCATGAGATTAAGAGTGTGATCGGAGAGTTTTTGTGTTCTTCTGCGGCGGGTCTTGCAGAACTTAGCTCCGACCGCATGGACAGTTTCCACGAGCTTGTCATTCAAATCGTCCACTTCATTGCAGTCTTCTAGGCACTGAAAACGGTTTTGTAACTCGAGCTGAAAGGTTTCGGGACTTTGGATTAGAGCACGAGGGGGACGGAGCGTTGACTTCATTAGACGAGACCTCTCCAACTTAACGTTTAGGTTCAGTGTGCCTCTAACCATTCGGTGATCGCTGCCGGTTTTCACCCTCGCGATCACTGAGACATCACTGAACAGTTGTCGTCTGGTCGTCATAATGAAGTCAATCTCATTTTTTGTCGAACCGTCGGGGCTCGACCAGGTCCACTTCCTGTGGGGCCGCTTCTGGAAGAAAGAGTTCATCATAAAGAGTCCCTCTTTCTCCATGAAGTCAGCCAACTGCTGGCCCCTTGGGTTCCGTTGCCCTATTCCAAATTTCCCTACTTTCAGCTCACTGTTCTCTCTTGTGCCTAGTTTTGCATTGAAGTCTCCCATTAACACCGTATATTGGGTTTTGGAGGAATGCATGGCTCTAGAGATATCCTCATACATTTCCTCCACCTCCTGATCGGGGTGTGCCGAGGTTGGTGCGTAAACCTGTATGACCTTCAGCGAATACCGTTTGGTGATTCTGAGTATAAGGTACACAACCCTCGTCGACACACTCTCAATCTTTACAACGTTGTTAACGAGAGACTTGTGGACGATAAATCCGACACCTCCTTGGGACAGATGGTCGCCCTCCCGGTAATAGAGCAAGTAGCCGGGAAAAACATAAATATTAAAATCAAAAAATGTATATATGTATGTCTATACATACATATAATGATTTATGACCGCTTAGTAACTGACGGTGACTCACTATAACATCCTACAGTCACGCCGAAACTAAGAGGAGAGAATCACTGTAGAAAAGGTAATAATTTATTGCGGAAATTTTGTGATAAAATTCAAAAAAATATAAACTTGTCCAAGTTAATCTAACTTAGTCTAACTTATCCTTATGCGTATAAAAAAAAACATATAATAAAATAGTGAGATGGCGTCAGTTTTTAAGAAGATATAACAAAAATAAACAAAAAAATAAATTTCAATAAAGTTCAGTGTTTAATTTTTTATATACCGCTGACACTTAATCACGCTTTTCGAAACCACGCCAGTTGTAAACAATACTTGTGTGAAAAGACAAAATCTTCTTTTCAAATTTCCACCGAGTTGAAAGTAGAAGGCCAAATTGGTCACGTGTCAATTTTAATTAAATATATTTTATATGAAGTGATCTGGACTACGTTTCATCAATTAACCATCGGTAAAAATTAAAACAGGAATTTTACAATTGTGTTTACAAAAAACATTATTAGTTGAACCTTGCAGCTTGTTCATTATTTTTATTATAGATACCTATAAATGTATATATTATTAATAAATAGTTCCCATAATATATTGGATTATTTTTTATTTTGCCCTATCTGCAATGTTCTACGCTCTATAGAAAATGTGGCGTATGACATGACTGACAATCTTTCGAACGTTTTATCTAGGTACAAAGATGTTTTACGTTTTCGTCGCCTCCACATGATATTTTTGTCAGCATAAGGCACCCTTCTATATCTGAAACGAATATAAATATTGCTACAAAGTAAAGTAATATATATACAAGTCCCTCTACTGGGCACAGGACTCTTTTTTTATTTCTGAGTGGGTTTTAGGGCAAGTAAATACCCGCCGTGCTTCCCCAATGCGTGTTGACGAAAATTGCAATTACAAATTTCATTCGTGCTGTCGGGAATCAAAACCGGGAAAATATTTACAGCGAACGCTTTGACCCAGATCTACTAATACGATACAAATAAATACGATTTAACATATATAATAAAAATTCTTACATACTTGAAACTTGAACACTTGATAGCTCGTGATGCCTACCGGACAAAGCTACAGCACCACACCGTGCAATGTAATTGAAGATGCGTAACCGCGACATAATTCTCAGTGATGCGCAATCATAACAGGCAGTATGTCACTTATATAATTGTCATCTCTGCAGTCTATTAATCTTTGCACTTTTATAAGTAATACAGAACGTAGTTGCTAGACGGTGTTGACATCGGCTAAAATCTCTGCGATCGCCGTTTCGTCAAGGTCATTCAGGCTAGTTAAAGCCTTAAGAATAACTCAAAAACTATTGGTCAGACCTTGATAAATTTATATGGGACCACATGTGAGATTTCAAATAAAAAAGAAATCGGTTCACCAAGTTTTACTGGAAATGAGGCATTCCATCTTAGTCCTCACGAGTGACAACGCATCTAAATTTTGATTTGTAACAGAGGATAGATGTAGATGTCTATGGGCCGCAGCAACCACTTACCATCAGGTAGACTGTGTGCTCGTTTGTCACCCTTATACTATATAAAAAAAAGTAAACAGTTATGAGGTAACACACATAAAAAACATGTCGAAACAGTCGAATTGAGTACCGTCTCCTTTTTGAAATCGGTAGAAAGGAGAGGTCTCTGGTAAAAAAAGTAAAGTTAAATCTATTTTCATCAGCAAGACTCCTATATCACATTACAGCCAAAAAAATTTGTTTTATTCATTACAGCCTATGTAAAAATCCACTACTATACTACCATTTTGTCACCCCTTTTGATTGCCTCATAGGAGGATAGCAACCGCAGATATTATTTTGCGTTCTTATTTTTGTTTCAGTTGCTTTATTAATTTTTGTTGCATTTGAAAAAACCTATCTAGCTGAGGGCGTTCTATTAACTGACAGTGATGATTATTTTAGGTAACACAATCCTAAATGTGTTGGCATATTTTAACACAATTCAAAATGTGATAGTACATTTAAGATGTGTTTCATCAAAATGTGTGAGCACATTTTGAATTATATTGTGTACGAAACACATTGATCTTTGGTTAAAAGGCTGGTACGATCGAATCAACATCGGAGAGTTCAAGACACTGGTAGATGTGGGCGTGGTGGCGGCCATGGGCCCGCCCGGCGGCGGCAGGAACCCCATCACCATGCGCCTCATGCGGCACTTCCACTACATTTCATTCACCGAGATGGAGTACAGCAGTAAGGTTAGTGAATTTACTTTAGTAGAATGGATCTAAGTTACCAAACCTGCCACGTGACTGTAAAATTCTTGTACAATGTATCGTTTTGTCGTGTATATAAGATCTTCTTGTTCATCATCATCAGGCCGTTAAAGTCTACTGCTGGACAATAGCTTCTTCCGCAATAGGGAGGATATGCCTTAATCGCCACTCTCGGCAGTCGAATTGGTACCAATCGTCTGTATCGTAAACGAAATGGTTATACGACCACCTGTCATGAGATCTTTTCTGGTTTTCCGAAGATTTCTCGCAGTTCTCTCTTTCGATTGCCACGGGTTTGGTTGCTGGTTTTTCCGCCGCCACCGCCGCTGTCTATAAGCGTCATATAATATCCTAAATGGAGAGTTCCAGTGACTATTCTAGATGAACAAAGAGAGATGATTTTTGATGATATAATAGGCGGTAATGCAGTTACAAATGGTAATGCTGTGTCATAAAAAACGGTGTTTATATTTTAGTTCGCAGTCCATCTAATGGAAGTTGACCCATAGAGATTTACATCTATCTTCAATAATTAAAAATCAAAACGCAGATGTGTATCACCACTGAGATCTATGACGGATTGCCTCGTTACTCGTAACTTACTAATAACAAAAGGTCTTCAGTTCTCTACACTCACCATACGAAACACATCAACATGATTCTGCTGTTTCGCGTTGGTATTTTGTGTGAGCGTGGTCCTTCCCCGATCTATTCGTGCTACAGTGCGGCTCTATAACGTACAAAAATATTGACCAAAACAATGTTTCACCTTTCAGTACGCAATATTCAGTGTGATACTGCACTCTTGGACGAAGAACTTCAAAGAAGTTACCGTTAGAGAAGATCCTTTCATCAAAAGCTCGATCGATATCTTCAGTTCTTTGGTAGATGAATTGTTACCAACACCAACGAAATCACACTACACTTTCAATCTTCGGGACTTGAGCAAAGTGTTCCAGGGAATTCTGATGATGGATCCGCATGCCATAGAGGTAGATTTATGATTTCTGTCATGTTATATTTGCAATGTTTTGAATTGTGTAGTAGACAGTAGATAAAATCTATACTTTTTATTCATCCATTACCATTGCTCAACGTAGGCCTAGATTGTCTCTTAGAAAGGATAGTTGCCATAGTTGCTACTGAGCGGTTTGGCAACCGCAGTTTTTGTTTATTTTGAGTTGTTATCAGGAAGATGTCGCTGCTTATCTCCTGTTTCATTTCCTTCTGACGCCTTTAATGACAATCATTAGTAGTGAATTCTCTTATGTCACCACAACACTGGCCTGTACTTTTTTTTTACAATAGTAGCAATCTATTAAACATTACTTATATTACCTTTAACTAGTCCTGGTAAGCTTAAAATGCTTGTGTTAGAAGTGGTTTACGACAGTAGTCGAATGGATTCGAACCCACGACCTTTTAAGTTCGCGGTCCATACCCTGCCATTAGGCTACTCTCGCCTTTATTATTCCTTATTCTACTTTTTATATTTTATTCCTTCTTGCTTGTTTCTTTTTTTTTCTGAGTTATGTGTATCTATCGATACATTAATAGGAATTTGTGAATTAATTCAACAAATATCGCCTAGGATGAGGATCAAGTGATAAGGCTGTGGTATCATGAGCACCTGCGTGTATATCAAGATCGTCTCGTTAACGACGAAGATCGGCAATGGTTCGTCAGGTAAGTCTAATTTACCCTAACCTATATAGACCATGGACAGCATCATTAAAATTAGGAGCCGTCAGCAGGTCTATTCGCTAACTCTGTTGCCATCATAATACTTTGTGTACGACAAATTTGCTCATTGCGTCATATGTTTTGTAATCCGTGGAATTTTTATGGTAAAGCTATATATAATACGCAATGTACTGCAAAGTGACTATGATTTAGTTGAAAATGAAGTTAGCGATGCTACGTGATCCATGACCAACAAAGGATCTTTACGGACTGATGATTATGATGGCAATAATAATGTCCTTAATTATTGTACCGTAAAAGTTCAGCTCATATGCCCTTCTCTCTTGATTTAGTGTAATTAGCTACTTGAAGCGTGTGTTACTAGTCACTGCATTGCCCATCTTCTGATCAGGGTTTCCCAACCTTTTATTAATCAGGGACCTTTTTGATTTCTTTGTTGTTAGTAGGGACCACAAGGTGAAAAAAAAAACTGTGTAAATCTAAGAATAAGTTTTAATCACAACTTTTAATATAATTATACAATAATCTGAAAATAAAAGTAAACTAAAAAGTATTCATTCACAGTATTATATGTGTATTTATTGTAAAAGTAATCATACGTGTTTTGTAAAAAAATGCGATATTGATTGCAACGTTAAAATGATGAAAATAAATAAATGTGTTATTTAAACCGATTTGGTATGTAAAATGTTTAAATCTCTTGCGGACCATATTTAAGCATTTAAGCGGACCAGCATCTAGACCAGTGTTTGGGAATCACTGGTCTAGATGCTGTTCTCACTGGTGTAATACAATGTATTTTAGATCTGTCTGACAGCTCTAGCTTACGGCAAAATATAACAATTATGTTTATTATACATTATTGAGAAATAAAACACGTCCTTGCGTAACGGCGCTTATTGCAATCCACCGTGGCAGATGCAACTGCCTACCTACATAGAAAAATATAAATACATACTTACATTGTACGATCTACCGACATACATGACAATTATTATATCCGCCGTGTTTCTATTAAGGTTGCTGAATAAGAAGATTCAAACGGAATTTGGTAAGAAACCAGATGACATCATTGGCGGACGACTTATGCTCTTCGGTGACTTTATGGATATTGGTAGTGATGAAAGAAAGTACGTCGAGATCAACGACCGTGAAGAGGTTAGATGTTATCATAATCTTTATCGTCATCGTGACATTATTTGATGAAACAAGGAAATTTATACGTGATAGAGCAATACTGCAGTATGAATTGTACGAATTGGTCGTTTTGATCAGAGAAGGATGACGCTCTCAGGTATCAGTGTATTTTTCTGCCGACTTCCAAAAAGGAGCCGGTACTCAATTCGACTGTATGTTTTTTTTTTTCGTTTTTTTTTTATGTGTGTTACCTCAGAACTTTTTTCTGGGTGAACCGATTTCGATGATTCTTTTTTTATTTGAAAGCTGGTACTTTTCGTGTGGTCCCATATGAATTTGATCAAGGTCAGACCAGTAGTTTTTAAGTTATTCTTAAATAACTTATATTGAAGTCGGCTGTACAAAATTTTTAATTTTAAATTATTATAGAGTTAGGGTAACAAACGAGCACACAGTCCACCTGATAGTAAGTGGATGCTGTAATCCATAGAAATCTACATCTATCCTCAATTAGGAATCAAAATGCAGATGCGTTGTCACCCCCGAGGACTAAGACAGAATGCCTCGTGTCCAGTAAAAAGGGTCTCCGATTCTCTAAAGTCACAATACGAAACACAGCAGCACTAAGCTGCTATTTATATCTGCATTTTGAATCTTTATCGAGGATGGCTGTAGGAGTCTATGGGTCAAATCACCCATTTATCTTCAGGTAGACTTTGTACTTGTTTACCAAGGTTGTATAAAAAGTTCATTGTTTAAAATAGTTTTGTCCACAGTTAAACTTGTATTGTATCTGGATATTTTTCTTTGATTGTTTGCTGGACCAGTTTTAAACTTATGGCTAGTGGTAATGGGATGAAATATATAAAATAAAAAATACTTACTCAGGTGCTTACCGCACAATTATCCTTATTTCGCTTAGCATTTTCAACGGATTATACACATCGTTCCTCACTAGCACCATTGAAATTAGTAATTGTATTTTTTTTTAGGAGTACGTGCCTGATGGTGAACGACAGTTTGAGAAGAACTGATGCCACTATTAATTTAGTTTAAATTTTTCAGCTTAACGACGTGTTAAAGCACTATATGGACGATTACAATCTGTCGTCTACTGTGCCAATTGATTTAGTGCTGTTCGAGGACGCGGTGGCGCATCTCTGTCGAATCGCACGAATCGTGCGTCAGCCGATGGCCAATGCTCTGCTATTGGGAATGGGAGGTTCAGGTGTGTTATGAAAACAATTTTAAAGTATTTGTGTAATTGATAGTTTCGCTGGCTGCTTCTAATTGCCATTCCCGAACAGCTCGGGATTTCACCATTAATACAGATACGAGTATCTGCTTCTTTTAGTTTGTAAAATATGTTTATCACCCTGAATAGACAGACCGCCATCGCTGCAAACCACGAAATTTTTTGGCGGTTTCTTTAGTCTATTCTTAAATGGATCTGGATCTGACGATAAAGTAAATTTATATATAGTAAATATTTATTTATTTATTTTTTATTGTATATATAGCAATAGCGGGATTATTGCCTTAGGCAATCGCTACCAGATAACCCGTGAAGTTGCGAAAAATGTAAAGCGAGAATTTGACGTAGGTGTAGCCGATACAGAGAAGAAATATTAAGCAAAAATATTATTTGATTATAATTATTATAAGTTTGGCAAGTTTGTTGAAATACCCTTTCGTAATGTGGTATTCGCAACTACGAGAAGGTAATAATATTTTTTCAATTATTGAAAAATATCAATAAGCATTCTTATGTTGTAAATTAATTTCGTTGTCGGGTTTGTTACGTATATTTTTTATATTTTATTACATAAAATACAGTTTGTTGGCGAATACATCACCTATTTACATCCTAAGTACCTACTGTAATTAATATAATTATCTTGAATTTAATCTTAAAATAGAAATATTTACTTCTTAGAATAGTAGCATTATTTACATAGTTCATTATCTTTAAACTTATTAATAGTTAAACCCAGTAAGTTATACTTTATCCGGTCGGCACCAGAAACTCTTTGCAATGATAGTGTTGCGCGTCACCATTAATGACTGGTACATGGCCACACTAGTTACCACTAGCGCCTTCTAGTATCGAGTAGCAGAACTAGGAGAGTCAAGATCCTTCTAGAAATTTCCATGGAAGAACTTTCTAGCTCGTAACAATAGCTAGATGCAACATATTAGGTTGTGTATTACATATTTTCATATCGCATTTCGTCGTGTAGGTATCTCATTGAAAATACATGGTACTAGATAATTTATTGTGCTCTTGCCATAATAATATTAACCATATAATTGATCCTTAACGTATTTCTTTTGAGAAATATGTCTAATATATCTGCTGTATGTTTTAAGCTGTAGAGATTTCAATTGTTCTATTTCAATTAAGAACTTAAGTGTTACCAGTGTGATACCTAATATTCTAAATTTTTAAATCAAATATTATAGTTTCCGTCTTTTTTTTATAGGATAGGGTAACAAACGGGCACACAGTCCACCTCATGGTAAGTGGTTGCTGTGGCCTATAGCCATCTACATCTATCCTTGGCTGCGAATCAAAATGCATATGCGTTGTGACCCGTGAGGGCTAAGATGGAATGCCTCTTTTCCAGTAAAAAGGGTCTCCGGTTCACTACACTCACCATGCGAAACGCGGCAGCATTAAGCTGCTATTTTACGCTGGTATTCTGTGAGAGCGTGGTCCTTCACCGGTCGAGCCGACCCATTCGTGCTACAACTATACTACTAATATAGCTGCAGCATGGCTCTACCACGTTTAAAAATCGTATATATAATTTAGAAAATTCCCCTTTGTTATTTTAACAGGTCGACAGAGCCTGTCACGTTTAGCGGCGCATATAGCGGAGTTGATGTGCATACAGATTGAGATCACGAAAGCATACGGTCAAACGGAGTGGCGAGACGACATAAAGCAAACCATGATCAAGGCGGGTGGAGACAACAAAGGGATTGTATTTCTTTTCTCTGACGCTCAGGTCTGTGAATTTATTGAATCTAGTATAATTCTTGGTTTAATGAAAAAGACTTTCGCCTTCATCAGTCTATATCTAAATGTCCAATGCTGGGTGTAGACCACATCCGTCGTAATGAAGACTGATATATTATAGGAAGTACACACATATCCAATAGTTATTTTATTAAAATATAGTTAGTAAGAATAGTTTAGTAAAGAATGCACGCAGCACACCGCTACATTTAGACTTATTTTCACAAATCCATAATATATTCTTCTATAAAACAACATCTGGAGTTATTACCAATACAGTTTTTACCTTACAACGGAGCGCCTAACAAATTTTTATTTATAAGATTTATATAAGATCCATTTTGTGATATTTGTGAGGTCTTCGACTGTGTTCATCGTGATATACTAATCAGAAAACTACAACGTTATATTGTAATAAATAATATGTTGCTTTTAAATACTTGTTACATATAAAAAAGGTAAAAACTAATTATTATATCAATGGTGAATAGTTTAAGGTATATAGTGTTTATAGGACTTCCGCAGGGTTGGGTCCTCTGACTTTTTTTATTCCTAATTTACATTATAATTATGTGTACAGGAGTAACTATAATAATAACTTGTCCATACGCCAATCTTTTGTGCATGTAACCTTGTATGTATACTGCTAACTAATGATCGAGGGTTTGGTGATGTGGGGTTACAAGATACACAGTGATCTTTGAATGTATGTTTTGTCATAATAACCGGTCAAGTGCGAGTCGGACTCGCGCATGAAGGGTTCCGTACTATCTTAATACACGTTTCTAGTAGAGGAGCCCCCTTTAATTTTTAATTTATTTTAATTTTTATTATTTGTTGTTATAGCGACAACAGAAATAAACATTCTGTGAAAATTTCAACTGTCTACCTGTTACGGATCATGAGATACAGCCCGCTGATAGACAGACTGACGCACGGACGGACAGTGGAGGCTTAGTCATAGGGTCTCGTTGGTTAATCTTTGGGTATGGAACCCTAAAAATGAATGCTTATAAATTTTTAAAAAATGTTTTTAGATAAAAATGGAATCGTTCCTCGAGGACCTGAACAATATACTAAGTTCGGGCGACGTGCCGAACATCTACGAGGCGGAGGACCTGGACCGCATATTCCAGCTGGTGCGGCACGCGGCCATGGAGCAGGGGCTGGCGGCGAGCCGCAGCAACCTGCTGGCCTGCTACCAGCGCCGCGTGCGCACCAACCTGCACATCGTGCTCGTCATGAGCCCCGTCGGGGAGGTATACAATAGAATAGAGTAGAATATAATCATTTATATTCAATATAGATTACGAGCGTGACACTGAAAGTTCTTAGAAAATTAATAAAATACATACACAATAATATGTGAAGAGTTCCATTTTCAAAATTTGAACTTATTTTTTTATTATATCGTTTACAAGTGGCCATTTCAAAAAACTTTCAGTGTCGCCCTCGTACAAGAATACTTATTAAAAGTCATTTAAGCTTTACCACTGGTTCAGAAAAAACCTCCGTCCTGGGAAGAACCAGCAAAAAACTCAGCGGGAATATTTTAAAATCATTAATTTACAATATAAAACTTTGTACAATTATGTATGAAAACATTTAGAAACAGTATGCAAGCAAATACTACATTCCCGTGGGTTATTATCATAATCATGTACTCTTTAGTAGTATAATAACCCTTTTTAAACAATGTTTGCTTAATAAACATTTAAAAGTTTTTGATAGATAGGTCTTGACATATTTTCTGCGACTTTGTTGTAAAAGCGTTTACATTGTTCCATGAAGGAATTACTGACTCTTTGGAATCGAGTTACAGGTATAATGTTAATCAGCTACATATTCTTTTTGATAAAACTAAAGTGACAATTTAACTACTTACAAAATCAAATCAAAAGGGTTATTATAATATTAAGGAATTTATGGATTTAATAAAACTACTGTTACGGATTTAATCGCGTTTAATTATACTTATTTTTAAATTCCCAACATTTCGACGTGTCGACGACGTCGACGGACCAAAACTAATAGTTAAAAAAGCTGAAGGTACTCCGGGTTAACTCTGATATCGGCACGTCAATCACCTCAGTCTCCCGTGATCATGGGTGCTGGAAAGCACCCGAAACGTTGGGAATTTAAAAATAAATATGATTAAATGCGATAATATACGTAAAAGTACTTTTATTTAAAGTGTAGTGTTCGCGTAAATATAAGTAAATATGAATTTATCGATGATAATAACCCATGAGAATGAGGTGATCGCTACCAAGCTATTTCTGTTTTGTGTTATTTTTATGTATTTAGTAAATTATTATATAATTTTGGTGATTGTAAGCTATTCTTTTTTTTTTTCAAAAAGGAATAAATTTGATTCTGAATTTCTTGCTGGTTCTTCCCAGGACAGATATATTTCGCGAAGCAGAGGTTAAATAACAATAAGTGACTTATAATAAGCATTATTTATAATCTATATGAAATTTATTATTTATATTGTTTCTTAAAACTTCCTATTTCTATTTCAAAATGCTGACTTTAATTGCTTACAAAAATCTTTAATAATTTAAACATTTTTTGTAAGCAACTTATGATGTCAAACAAGTGAATAGTTTTTCGTCCACCCGATGTTCAGTAAAAACTGTTGCTTATGAATAATTACTTTATCTTAATTAAGAATCAAAATTTGGAGGCGTTGTCATCTGGACTGGAATGTCTTGTTATAAGTGTTTATCCGATTCTCACTAAGGGTACTTATCGCTCACCATACGAAACATAGCAGCCTCATGCTTCTATTTTACGCTGGTGTTTTGTGAGAACTTCGTCTCATACTCGTAATTAGGGGCAAAAATTGGAAAACATATTTTCTTTTTGAGAAAAAAATATGTATATTTATTTAATTGATGTTATTACTATCATTATTCTTTACATTTCTATCATTTTGATCTCCTCAATCAATCAAAGATCGTGGGCAAAAATGGAAATGTCTATTTCTTTGGCACGCTCTGTATGTATGTTGATGGATTTTAAAATATTATGGTGTATCGTTAGATTTTTTATGGTTAGAGATAGTTATGGAAGTGACATAGAGTATGAAATTTCTGCTTTTCTGTAAATTTTTTTACGCAGTCGGATTTTTTAATTATGTTTAACAGTAAAGCTTGTTTATTTAAAAAAAATTACACTAGGATTTTGTTCTGTATCGCGGATGCAGTTTATATATATATAATTATGAATTGTACAAGGACAAATATACAGATCAGAAAAAAATATTTGTAGGCCATACAAATACTAGGTACGTGTGAGATTCGAACCTTCAGCGTCGCAACTGAATGAAATGTTTTAGTTTTCTACCGACTTCACAAAGAAGGAGGTAGTCAATTCTACTGTATGTTCGTTTTTATGTGTCCTCATAATTTTTTTCGCGTGAAACGATTTTGAAGATTTTTTTTATTTCAAATCTGATGCTTCTCATGTGGTACCATATTAATTTTAGCAAGGTCTGACTAACCGTTTTTGAGTTATTCTTAATAATTTATATTGAAGTCGGTTGTACAAAATTATTAATTTAAATTATTAATATCAGTAATGTAAGATACTAGATCAAATATACGCAGTATTAATAAAACATTGTCATTCCATTAAACAGGTATTCCGTGCACGGTTGCGTCAGTTCCCATCGTTGGTTAACTGTTGCACGATCGACTGGTTTAGTGAGTGGCCCAAGACAGCACTACAGTCCGTTGCCAGGCACTTCTTCGATAATATGGTCGAATTGCAAACCACTGAGTCGGTTATGAGTGCGATGGTTGTAAGTAGATGTTCTCATTGTTACATTAACATTCGTAAATCTCTATATTTTCTTACTCATTACATTTCTTTAAAAGTACGAAAGTTATAGTAATCCCACTCCCAGACACACTCTTCCTCTGGTTGGTGTAATGGTTGTGGCTTGTGCAGTAATTCTTCCACTGCGTGTTAATTCAATATGTCTTCCAAATATTTTTATTCTTCAGACATGTTGGTTTCCTCACAATCTTTTCCTTCACCAACGATCACATGTAAATGAACATTTAAAATTTGATCTATATTTATTGAAAATAACATTATAGAGGAAGATCCCAGGGCCACCAGACGTCACTTATTTTCTAAAGAACGAAATGTATATCATTTAGTAGTGTTAGTATGTACTATGATCGCATACTTACTTGCTAGCTTGGTCAGTAGGCCATTTTCCAGGTATCAGGTAATCAATGTACGTAAAAACATTACTCACCTCAGGTTAATTCTCCCAGCTGATTTAAACGTAAATGTTTGATAATATCGTTAAAAACATTACCGTCAATACTCCCAGACACTTTCCGTCGGCGGTATCGCTTTGCAGATGCTTTATAGCTCTCAAAAATATACTATATTCTGAAGCTGCATTTTTATATATGTCAGCTAGACAACTATTTTAAAAAGTTTTACAAGAGAGTAGACCGATCCTAGGGGTAAATCATCCCCTGACAGGATTTTTGTTACACATTGTATATGTAAATGTACTCTTTCTCATCATAATATATCTGTCATAGTCTGTGTGCTGTTTTGCGCATGAAAGCGTTGTGGACGCGAGCGCCAAGTTTTTGGCGCAGCTGAATCGGTTAAACTACGTTACTCCGATGTCTTACATGGAGATGCTTTCTGCGTACGAGGAGATGTTCAGGAAAAAGCAGGCCGCCATACTGAAGGAATCTAATGCGCTCAAAACTGGTATGATGTAAGATATTAAATAGCAAATTCTATGAACGTTTCACTGCGTTTAATCTACCGTATCAACTTTTTGAGCATATTAAGTAGGGAAGAGCTTTCCATTTCTTTGAAGTATATATATGATTAAAAAATTAAGAATTAATTAGCTAAGATGCGTGTATTAGAATAGAATAGAATACAATACAATAGAACAGAATAGAATATAATAGAACAGAATAGAACAGAATAGAATAGAATAGAATATTTTTATTCCATATAGATCACATGTGTAATTCTTATTGAGTCATTTTTTACTTTAACACTGGTTCGAAAGAAAAACCCACTGTCCTGGGAAGAACCAGCAAGAAACCCAGCGGTACTTTTTTTTTAAAGTAAATTTTACATTAATGGTCCTACAAACTATTTACAAAATGTATTTTAGAAACTGCTTGGAAGCGAACATCTCATTCCCAGGAGTTACGTATCAGCCATTTATATTATAATAACCCTTTTTATACAGTTACTGCTTTGAAAAACATTTAAACTTGGTACTACAGAAAGCCTCTTCCGGGACCTTGTTGTAATAGAATTACTGACTCTGTGTAGTCAAAAGACTGGTATCACTAGCTTGTGTTCGTTCTTAGTGTTAACAGAATTTATATCAATTTTTTTACTAAAATTACCTTTGTTTTTGTGAACATACATAAAATTTTCGTAAATATACTGACAGGCCAAAGTTATTATTTTTATTTCTTTAAATTTATCTCTAATAGACTCTCGGTTTCGGGATTCTAAAACGAACTACTCGAAGCGAGTAGTTCGTTTTAGAATCAGTCGCATTTCCCCATAGCAAAATCCCATAAGACATTATGCTATGGAAATAACTGATATAAACTAATCTAGCTGTCTCGACACTAGTGAAACCTTTAAACTTTTTTACAGCATACGCTGCAGAACTTAGTCTGCTTGTTAGTTTGGATGTATGGGGGCCCCACTGAAGCTTTGCGTCGAGAGTGATGCCAAGAAAAACAGTGGATTCAACAGGGCTCAGTTCTTCTTCATTTAAAAACACATTGGTATTCAGATTTTTAACATTCGATGTTGTAAATTTAATACATTTAGTTTTATTTCCCTTTAAATGTTAACGTTAAATCAATGCACTAATTTCGATATAGCATTATTCACTTCGTCACATTTAAATGATAGACGTTTAAGTTTAAAACTCAAGGAAGTATCATCAGCAAATAATACTATATCATGATTATCCGCTACAAGGAAAGGTAAGTCATTAGTATACACTAGAAATAGGAATGGGCCGATAATCGAGCCCTGAGGGACACCCATTAGTACAGGTATATAGATATAATAAAATGAAATGACGTGTCTTATCTAGTTGGAAGACAAATATATTACTTTATAGATGTGTATTTAAATATGAATGAAATTATGTATAAATTTAAATGTAGCTGAATAATACTGTTTTAATGCAGGATTGGACAAGTTGAACCAAACTGAAGTTGAAGTTAAGCAGCTGCAAATAGAGCTCGCTGAACTGAAGCCCATGATGGAGAGAGCAGCTGAAGAGACCGAGAAAGTCATCGAGCAGATTGCGACTGACACAGTTAGATTTTATTAGAAATACTTTGACAAAATTACTGACTTACTAGCTGTTCCCCGCGACTTCACCCACGTGGAGTTTGGATTCTTTTCCTAAAATAAACGTAGTCTAAGTTACTCCTTATAACTTCAGCTATCTGTCAATAAAAGTCACATCCAAATCGGTTCACAGGTTTTTGCGTAATGCGTGTTCAGACAGACGTTGTGTAAGAGTTTTATTATAGTAATAGATATTCAACAATATGAATAGGTATAGGAAAGATTTTGTACAGTTATAAAAAAGTATTCATGGGTTACAAATTTACAATAAATATCAACATAGATGTTATTTTGCGCATTAATGCATTAAAATCTTCTATTATTACTACTTACGATGTTCAAAATCCGTAAGTAGCACTAATGGAGAATTATCTTCATTTATATAATTATTCTGACCGTGTTTATGTGAATGAACTTTTCCTAAACGGCTAGACTGAATTTACGAAACTTTGTGGGAGTAATAAAGTTAATTCGAAAATGTTTTAGATTTACAATTGGACCCGGTAGGTCTCGTTGTTGTCGAGATCCAGAAATAACCCTTGTGAAACCAGGGCAGATCTCTAGTATAATATGAAAATTAAAATTCCCATAGTAATAAACCATGGCAATATAAGTAACGATTGTAAGAAATTAAGATATTGAATGAAATCAATAATAATTTTTTATAAAAAATGCTTTTAAAACTATAAGTATTAATAGTTTGTCTCTTTTTTGTTGTGGATGACTGTTGTGACTGTTGAAATAATAACTGACTTACGACTTACCCGAAAATTAAGCAGACTGCCACGACAAAGGGAAAATGTTATTGCTAGAATTTTTGGTCACTTTATATTTGGTCTTCGACTATGAAATTTAGCAGTATGTATGTTACAGCTGCCAGAAGTTTAATACTAATAACTTCATATGACTTTGAAATCTATTATTTGAAGCTGATGTTAAAAGATTTTAACATGATTTCGGCATAAACTTGATCCTAATTCACATCACTTTCATCATATATTCGGTTTAATGATCATAAAAGATTATGTAAAAATTATACTCATTTTTATAATATAGGCTATTGCGGAGGAAGCAAGAATTAAAGTAGAAAAAGAGCAAGCAGTAGCAGAAAAAATGGCAGCTGAAACATCTGCGATGGCTGAGGATGCTCAAAAGGATTTAGGTACGGAATAGATCAATTTTATTTTTTGTATATGAGTATTATAAGTAAATGAAAGTACCAAGTACCTACTGGTGATTGGAAGATGAGGTTCCAGCTACCGAATGATGATAGAAAATTATATAAAAATACGTAATCAAAATTCTACATTATGTTGATGTAAACCAGCGTTATCAGAGGAAGGACATTATCTTTACAAAATACCCAACCCAAATTATAAGCGTGTAAGGTATTGAAAAATCTTTCAAGTAATGCATACTACCTAGCACATATAATATACTTTATGAATCACTTATTTTAATTACCAGAAAAAATCTTTAAGGCTCAAAATATAACCGCTTACTTAGGTCAATCAATACGTTTTGAGATATACAAAAAGTATTCTAGATACTATTAAAATTTATTTTACATCTTTTCAAAATATTCTCCATCATGCTCTATACAGAGTTCCATTCGCCTAAACCAACTCTGAAAACACTTTTACCAGTCTTGGTCTGACAGGTCGGAAATCGCTTCTTCGTAGGCAGCTACGGCTTCTTCGGCGCTTGAAAAAAACTTGCCTTTTATTTTTTCTTTCACTCATGGGAACAAAAAGAAATCACAAGAGGCTAAGTCAGGGCTGTAGGGTGGGTGACTTAGAGTTTCAACACCAGATTCCTCAATAAATGCTTTTGTTCTGAGGGAGGTATGTGAAGAGGCGTTATCGTGATGCAGCATGATTCCCCGAAGCCCAGTCTTTGGTCTTCTCTCCCGCACAGCTTGAAAAGCTTTGGGTAATGCAACTGTAGTATAACATTCGGAGTTAACTGACCTACAATTTTACAGCATTGACGTTGACAAATGTCCGCTCCGCGAAAAAAAACTAGCCACCATTTTTTTTTGCTGACGTTGCGAGGTCTTTGCAGTTTTGTCGGTAACTGTCCTTCTGAGTAGACCCATACCGATGATTGCATTTTATTTTCCGGATCACATTAATAGATCCATGTCTAGTCACCAGTAACGATTTCCGAAACACACCTAGATGCCCCGTTTTCAAAGCGTAGACGCATTTCATGGCACCAATCCACACCAGTCTGTTTTTTACTTTCGGAGAGCAAACGAGGGATCCATCGACAACAAAGCTTCCTCACTCCAAGATGTTGATGTAGGATGATATGAATGCTCCCCGAACTAATGCCTTTCAGTAGTTTCAGTATTTCAGTAGTCCATGCATTTTCTGCCCTTACTGCTGTTTGCGGAGCACCGGTTCTTTGGTCATCTTTAAGATTAATTTTACCCATTTTGAATTCAGCAAACCACCTAGAATTGTTGGAGTCCCCTAATGCTGATCGTAACCGTTGTAAACTTAATTGTTCGTTTAAACCAAATTTAAAATCACGATATATCGCGCAAATGTTCACGGTTAAGATCCATCGTTTTAAATGAAAAGCACGGGACGCGTTGCAGGAAAATTAATAGATTTTTTTTAATATTGTGCAATTGGCTTATGGAGTTCTATTGTTAAATAAATTTGCTTTTTAGAAACATATAACACGGGTGCGTTCCATTTTTAATTTCGAGCATCTCAAAACTTATTGAGTGAAGTAAGAAAATTAAACCTATTTAAACTTAGCGAATTAAAGAAGAACTATATTATTTTTATACAGTCACTGCCTGCAGACAGTACAAAAGAATTAGGAATAGATTACTAAAAGTAACTATATATTCCTTGTACCGTTTGTAAAATTCACTCGTATACGCTACCATCCATCCATCCATTATAGCCAATAATAAGTCCATTGCCGAACATTGGCATCCCCATAGAGCGCTTCAATGAGAGATTTTGTCATATTTGCCAAGCTTTTGCAAGCAGGTTGGCAACCGCAGTTGCTCATTATAAGAGTTGTTTCAGGTTCTCTCTGTTTTAAGACTAGATATGTTCTAGATATGTTCTAACATAATATAGAAAATTTTGATATTCTGTTTGGAATTTTTCGAAAAACTTTTTTTTATTTATTTTTATAAATTATGCTCTAATTTAATTACTGAATATGCCATATTTTTTTAAATGATAAAAATGTGAGAAAAATACTTAAATCTAGTTGAACTATATATTTTTAGATTGTCATTGCACGGTACATTACAATTTCATGTATCAGTAAAATTCGCTCGTCGCCTGTACTTGCTGAAAATTTAGATATTTTAGATTTAGATTTAGATTTTAACAGTGGTAGAGCCACGCAGCAGCTTTTGCTGTCGCACGGATGGGCCGGCTCGAACCGGGGTGGTACCACGACAACACAGAAAACCAGCGTGAAGTAGAGGTTTACCTCAGCGTTTCGCTTGGTGAGTGCAGGTGGCCGGAGGCCCTTTTTACTGGAAATGAGGCATTCCATCTTAGTCCTCACGGGTGACAACGCATCTACATTTTGATTTGTAGTAAAGGATAGATGTAGATGTCTATGGGCCGCAGCAACCACTTACCATCAGGTGGACTGTGTGCTCGTTTGTCACCCTTATCTTATAAAAAAAAGATATTAAATATTTAGAATTTTACGAACGACTTATATTTTTTTATATAAAATAATATGTTAAACACCAAAGCAGGCTGTGTATAAAATTACAAAAGGCTTTTGATAATGAAAGATACTGTTTCACACAAGTTTATTTTACTTTTTTCCCTCAACATTCGTTTATATAGTTAGTTACCAATATATTGTGAGGTTAAAGCTTCTTTAGCTTTATTATGTATTTGAAATATATTTTGAAAGCATAAACAATATATACCTTGGTGGGCTAGACCGGGGAAGGACCACGCTCTTACAGAATACCAGCGTAAAATGGCAGCTTGACACTGCTGTGTTTCGTATGGTTAGTTTATAGAAACGGAGACCCATTTTACTGGAAAAGAGGCATTCCATCTTAGTCCTCACGGGTAACGACGCATCTGCATTTTTATTCTTTATTGAGGATAAATGTAGATGTCTATAGGTCACAGCAACCAATTACCATCAGGTGGACTGCGTGCTCGTTTGTCACCCTATCCTATAAAAAAATTTAATCATGAAAAATTATATCCGCAGCACCATGAGAGTAAATAAAAAATCCCAACTGATCAGTAATTCGAAAACCAAAACCCGACAAGGAAGAAACGTCGAAAAACTTGATTTAAATAGGATAGGTGGATGATGGTGTATCATATCGTGCCTTGTAGCAATTTCTAAGGGATGTGTATGTTCAGCAATAGACTTTTCTTATAGAATAAGGGTGAAAAACGAGCACACAGTCCACCTGATAGTAAGAAGAAACTGTGTACAGAACTTAAATTTATCCCCGATTAAGAATCAAAATGCAGACTCGTTGTCACCTCCGAAGATTAAGATGGAATGCGTTGTTTCCATTAAAAAGGGTCTTTGATTCTTTACACTCACCAAACGATACGCTTTGAGATGCTATTTTACAGTGATATTCAGAGAGCGTGGTCCTTTCACCGGTCAATCAGATCCATTCTTGCTACAACCATAATATAGCTGCAGCATGGCTCTACCACGTAAATGCAGATGCGTTCTTATTCTCAAAAGACCAAGTCGGAATGTCTCGTTGTCAGTAAAAAGGGTCTTTGATTCTCGACACTTATCATACAGAGAGGTACGTATAGAAAAATAGTAGTAGCTTCATGCCATGATTTTACGGTGGTATACTGTATGAGTACCTACTCTTTTCACAATCATGCCGAGTCATTCGTTTTCCATCCAAAACGTAAATTCAAAGTTGTTCTACTTAGTAATAATACGCAGCATCATAATGTATTATAGATGAAGCAATGCCAGCGCTGCGAGCAGCTGAGAAAGCTCTGCAAGAATTAAACAGGAACGACATCGTCGAAGTTAAAGCGCTTAAGAAACCACCGGCTGGTGTTGTGCTCGTCATTGAATCACTCTGTGTCGTGTTCGATATTAAACCGATTAAAGTAAGCTAAGCTATATCTATACGTAAAAATAAAATTAAAGTGTCTGTAATAGTGAAGTAACTGTATTTGATTGAGCACACGAGATTTCATGCCAGTCATGAATAACCATTTTTTTTGTCTTTCTGCCTATCTGTCCTGTCTAATCATTAAAACGGCTGATCGGATTGTGATGCGAACGTCACGAATTTATAAAGAGCAATGCCAGGTGATCTAGGTTATAAAAGCTTAGAGATTACTTTGTAAAATTAAAAAAAAGAAAATAAATGTTCATTGATAATTCTAAATGGTGACATAAATGTAAGTAATAAATAACAAGGCGCCATGGTATGTTGAACATCTATAATATAAAAATGAATCGCTGAATGTGTTGCTAAGCGCAAATCTCGAGAGCAGCTGAACCGATTTCGCTAATTATTTTTTTATAATATTCCTTGAAGTACGAAGATGGTTCTTACAGAGAGAAAAGTTTAAAAAATTGCCTGAAAATGTCTAAAAACAACACTTTTATATTCCCATACAAAAGATTCGTAATAATACTTAAAAGTCAATTTGAACTTTAATACCATACCATAAAGTTTGAGTGTTAGTGGAGGGGTTCCGGGAAGGCAAAACAATTGTGTGACGTTAGTATCGTATAAATATTAATGTCAATGTTTGTCAATATTTATACGATGGTAACATTACTCAAAAACAAAATTAGGGTTCCGCGCAAAAAAATTGATATCCATGAAATCGTAGTAAATTCCACGCGGGCGAAGTCGCGGGGCACAGCTAGTTTATTATATTAATATCCTCCGAACCATATTTCGATCACGGCGGCCAATTTCCTCGGATACTAGCTATCTACGCAGGACAGGATTGTAGTGCACGAGTGTATACGCAAGCAAAGGTGCACACTCTATTCTTTCTTATAATCCGATCGGATGGCAATCCGTCACGACCGGACAGAGATTAGGCGCAGGACTAACGGCTTTTCGTTTTTTCCGAGGCACGGGGATGAAATAACGCCAACTTTCTGACTCCGGACTACTACTGAGTATTTCTTAACAATAATTTACTGATTTTAACCAAACCCGGGACTACGTGATTAGCAGCCACACCTAACATCACTAGACCCATGCGGCAGTCCTTACCTACTTCACATTTATACCACTGTCTTAGTTACGATATTAAATCACGTCATACGAATAATTAGGATTAGTGTTGTTAACACGTCACAATATAACACCAATTTATAAATTAAGACCAACAGTAGGGGAGCCCAACCGGGGAATTTTGGGACATACTCGAGCGCGGCAGAATTTCACAAGAGGGGAAACCCTGCACCCTGTTGAGTACTAACACCATTCAGCTGAGCTCTTTATATAGGGTCAAGCATCTGGGGCAGCCGATCAGATTAGTAAAAAAAAATATCGATCGTTAGAAAGACTCGAGCGTGTCAGATTAGGGCAAGGTAAGTTAATTATATGCAGAAAAGTGTGCATTTCAATAATCTGACAATTTGAGCGTGACATGAGGAAATAAGAGTGTCACAAAATTGCAAAAAAAAACGTTACATGTACATTCTCAAGCGCGGTTAGTTTATTTTTCTACCGACTTCAAAAAGGAGACGGTACTCAATTGGACTATATGTCTTTTTATGTGTGTTACCTCATAACTTTTTACTGGGTGCACCGATTTCGATGATTAATTTTTTATTTAAAACCTGGTGTTTTACATGTGGACCTATATAAATTTGATCAAGGTCTGACCAATAGTTTTTGAGTAATTCTTAATAATTTATACTGAAGTCGGTTGTACAAAATTTCTAATTTTAAATTATTATTTTGAAGGAAATTAGTCTCGAATCACTAATTTTTAAATTTTGAAGCAATAATTAGACGTATGAAAAACAACGGACTATCTTCACAAAAATTAACATAGATACATTTTTTTCTGGTTTCTGTTAGTTTATTTGATAAATTGCGGTGTTTCAGATTTGGGTAATTTATGTAATAGTGAAAAACGGTACAACTAACAACTTTTAAGAAATTCGAAAAAAAAAATGTTAGAAGCAAATTTTTTTTAATACAGTCGACTTTTTAAAAATTTCGTATATTCAACCTCAAATTTCGTAGTTCCGTAGATGATGACAAAATTCTGTAGATCTACGGAAAAATCCGTAGATTTGGCAACGCTGCGTCGCCATGATGCGATCACACCTGATCACAACAACGTTTTCGTGTTTTATTATGTATTAAAAAACGTTTATTGAACTCAGTGTAGTAAGTTTGATATATGTTTGTTACAACAAAGAGTTATACACATTAAAAAATACAGTAGAATTGAGAGCCTCTTCTTTTTTGAAGTCGGTTGAAAAAAGAAAATATTTTCGATTTTAGAATTTCCTCCTTTTTTGAAGTCGGCTAAAAAAGTTTTACATTCTAAAGGAACCTGGAGCGAAGTTTGGTGAAAAAGTCCTGAACTACTTTAAGCCGGGCACCCAAATGTTAGCAGATCCTACGGCCTTCCTAGATTCCCTTTTGAAGTTTGACAAAGAGACCATCACCGAGGACATGGTTAAAAAACTCAAACGTTTTATTCAGAATCCGGACTACGAACCGGCGAAAATACAGAAGGTGATTAGAAATGTCTTACATTAAATTAATGTAATAATAATAATGTCAACCAGAATAAATTTAGGTCACGGCAGTCAATCTTAACATAGACTTCATCGTGGTAGAGCCATGCTACTGCTATATTAGTAGTATAGTTATAGTAGCTTAACACTGCTGTGTTTCGTATGGTGAGTGTAGAGAACCAGAGACCCTTTTTACTGGTAAAGAGGCATTCCATCTTAGTCCTCACGGCTGACAACGCTTCTGCATTTTAATTCGCAAACGAGGATAGATGTAGATGTTTATGGACGACAGCAATCACTTACCATCAGGAGGACTGTGCTCGTTTGTCACCCTTATCATAAAAAAAAAACTAACCATCTGCGCAGTACAGGTATTTAGTGGCCAAGTGTACAAGTAGTAGCGGACAAGTGCACTCTCTATTCCCTAACTCTCATATTCCAATAGGTCGTAAATCCGACACGACCGGAGTGAGATCAGACGCGGGACCAACGGCTTTACGTGCTTTCCGAGCCACGTGGGTGAGACACTACCAACTTTCTGACTTTTTTTATAGAATAAGGGTAAACAAACGAGCACACAGTCCACCTGATGGTAAGTGGTTGCTGTGACCCATAGACATTTACATCTTTATCCTCAATAAAGAATCAAAATGCAGATGCATCGTTACTCGTGAGGACTAAGATGGAATGCCTCTTTTCCAGTAAAATGTGTCTCCGTTTCTCTACACACACCACATGAAACACAGCAGTGTCAAGCTGCTATTTTACGCTGGTATTCTGTGAGATCGTGGTCCTTCCCCGGTCGAGCCGAGCCATTCGTGCTACAACTGTACTACTAATATAGCTGCAGCATAGCTCTACCACGTAAAAAACGAGTTCCTTGCCTGGTCGAGCCGACCGATTCGTGCTACAACTATACTACTAATATAGCTGCAGCATGGCTCTTTTATTTATAACTGGCTTTATAGCTCTGGGTTCTAGACCTTCTGAGCCTGAAGTTACAATGTATAATAATGTTTCTATATAAGGAGGATATTTGCCATAGTCGCCACTCTTCCAGCGGATTGGCAACCGAAGTTTTTTATTTTTAGTTGTTATTAGAAAGACTGTTACAACATCAACGGGATGTTACGGGGTAGTGGATATTCTTACACCGCCACTACATGGTACGTGCTTAATTATAATTTTTACGTTGTTTTTTTATTCTATACTGCTAAACCTTTATCAAATTCTCACCATTCTGAGTTTACTGGTAGAGAATGCTCAAGGAATCATCTCAATCCGCCCTTTGTATTCTTTTTGGAACGAAGTACCTTATCGGACGGTACGGGTTTTGCGGATGGGAGCTAGGCGACAAAAAGTGTAAGATTTTTTGGTCACTACCCTTTGTGTCATAGTGTATTTTATTTTTTTGAATGACGCTTCATTTTAATAGACGCTAGTAGTACATTTATTTGTATTTGTTAATCAATAATATAATACGTTTATCAATAATAAGGAACTTCGTTCCAACCGAGTGTTCCACGACACTCACGCATGTTTTTTTTTTATAAGGAATGCAATAACGAATAAATACATAAATAAACTCGCACCATCAGGTTTCGAAGGCTTGCATGTCATTATGCATGTGGGTGCACGCCATGTACAAGTACTACCACGTGAACAAAGCCGTCGCGCCTAAGAAAGAGGCACTTAATCGGGCCACGAAAGAGCTCGCTGCTGTTGAAGGTAAGGTCTGGTATATTTCATACCTGTTAACCTCTAGCACTATTTTAGCTATCTCAAAGAGAATGTTTTACAATATGCAATATTCCTTTGGGCTGGGTAGCGTTTGGGAGATTACGACGCGTTTTCTCATCAGGTACACCTCAAACTTGAAAACAAAATTGTACAACCAGTGCGAGTTGCCAGTGATGACTTATGGATCTGACACAAGATCCTTCAACGCTGGCAGTATGAGCGCAAGGTCGCTCAGCAAAGCTACGCTCAGGGTATCTCTGCGTGATAGACATACAAATGGGGATATCCGCAGTAGAGCCAGAGTAATCAACGGATTACTAAGCCGAAATGACAATGGCCCAGCAATATAGCTATAAGAACCCACAAATGATGGGAATGGAAGGTTCTCGAGTAGCAGCCTCGTACCAACAAGCAAAGTGTAGGGAGGCCCCCACTAGATGGAGTGATGATCCTGTAAGATATGCAAATAGTCGATGGATGCAGGTGGCTTAGGACCATGCTTTGTGGCATCACTTGAAGGAGGTCAATATTCAGCAGTGGACTTGTGAAGGGCTATAATGATGATGATGATGATGACATTCATTGTTTTTAGACAAGCAACTAAGATTCATATTCCTAATGAAGTTTTCCTAAACCGACTGGCGCATTTTTCAATTGTTTCTAAAATTATGAAATTTCCATCGGTTTAATCGATTCGACCCAACTTGATCCAAAAAAAGGTACTCGACTTTTATCGGATTACCAGTATGTTCTAGAAGTTTCCGAAGTAACATTTATTTAAAGTTGTGAAAGTGTCACACATGGTGTCTAGATTGCTAACTAATTCAATTTAATTATAGCCATGCTTGCCAATGCTAAGGCTAAGATGCAAGCGCTATTGATGGGAATTGCGAAACTCAACGCCTATCTCATAGAGAAGGAAGAAGAGAAGAAGAAAATGGAAGAGGACATTAATCAATGTCTTGCAAGAATGGATCGAGCGAACAGGTCGATTTACATATATTAATAAAGATTTTTTTTTAAATCTTAACAAAGTTAAATGGACTTTCAGTAACAGTAATAATTCACTGATCAGTAAGCTGAAGTGACAATGGACTGGCCATAAAGCTTGAAGAACTAATAACCGATGAAGAAAGGTTTTCGAGTGGCGGCAACCTAGTATTTTTTTATATGATAAGAGTGACAAACGAGCACTGTCCACCTGATGTAAGTAGTTGCTGTGGCCCATAGACATCTAAATCTATCATCGAATATGAATTAAAATGCAGACGCGTTGTCACCCGTGAGGACTAAGATGGAATGCCTCGTTTCCAGTAAAAAAGGTCGTCGGTTCTCTACACTATACACTATTTTACGCTTGTATTCTGTAAGAGCGTGGTCCTTCCTCGGTCGAGCCGACCCATTTGTGCCACAACTATACTACTAATATGCAGCATGGCTCTACCATGAACCACGTAGTGCCGATAAGTGAAGTTAAGGGCATTCCCCACTAAATGAAGTGACGACCTGGTAAGAGATGCAGAAAGTTGATGGCTATAGGTGGCTGAAGACCTGCTTCATCATCGTTGGTGGAGGCCAATAATATAATGATAATGATGACGATGAATAATCCACGTTGTAAATATGCACCTTTTTATTTAATAAAAGGTTACCCTATAATTTGATTCATAATTTTTGTTCATATATGAATACCTTTGTCCTTTTGCATTTTAACCCATAAAAGCGTACTCCTGGACATGAGGCTCTGTCGTTATAGCGGGGATTTACTTTAATTGGCACGCTTGGCATGCGGTTTTTTACCTTTGGCACTGCTGCCCGTCGTGAATCTGGGAATTTTGCGTCTAGCGTAAATGAGATGGTATGACAATATCATCATCATTCTCTAAACCATTTCCCATTATCTGGGGTCGGCGCAGTAAATCTTTTTGTTCCATTCCTCTCTATCAGCCGTCATTTCCATACTTACTCCTTTCATTCTCATATCACTCTTCACACAATCGATCCATCTTTTATTCGGCCTTCCTCTGCCCGTGTGTCCCTCCACATTCATATTCAACACTCGTTTTGTGACATGACTTTCATTCCTCCGCATCACATGCCCAAACCATGCCAATCTGCTTCCTCTCACCTTTTCTACCACTGGCGTTACTTTCAGGCTTCCTCTTATATACTCATTCCTTATCTTATCCATCCTTGTCACACCACACATCCATCGTAACATTCTCATTTCATTCGCATGCAGTCTATTTTCATCCTTCTTCTTGACGGCCCAGCATTCACTTCCATACATGGTATGACAATATCTGTGAGAATAATATTTTGTCAAAAATAGTCATCACTTACGACACCGATGGGATGAAATGGGGTGATTGATTTAGCTTTGTTACTAACTCATTTCATATATATTTGTTTATATGAGAGATAAATATTATTAACAAAGACAATTTTAACTTAAACAGTTGGAAAATCATTATAAAACTTCTTTGTTAGTCATCTCTTTCTGTTTGAGAAAAAAACAAGCCGTGAAATATTGTAATATATCTGTCCATGTTTTAAGATGTAAACCGAACGTACGCCGCAAACTAAACTAGCTTAGTTTATCTTAGCTCGCATAACTGAGACAGTTTTCATACATGTGCGTCCACCTCAAACTAAACTTAGTAAATCTTAGCTCGCATAACTAAAACAGTTTTTCATACATGTACGTCCACCGCAAACTAAACTAACTTAGTTTATCTTAGCTCGCATGGCTGAGACAGTTTTTCATATATGTGCGTCCACCGCAAACTAAACTTAGTTAGTTTATCTTAGCTCGCATGTCTGAGACAGTTTTTCATACATGTACGTCCACCGCAAACTAAACTAACTTAGTTTATCTTAGCTCGCATGGCTGAGACAGTTTTTCATACATGTGCCAAACTTAGTCTAAGAGCTCCCGCAGACATACAATTGTAAGTTGGCCAACTATCGAGCGACTAAATTGCGTACTTTTGTAATTTAGTCGACCAACTTTCTTTTACTGGTTACCAGCCGCAGACTTAATCAATTTAGTCCGTGACAGTGTTGCTAGCGCGGTGCGTGTGCGTGATAATGCGGAAAAAAACGCTCTAATTGCATTCATAATAAAAAGAAGACGGAAACAAAAGAGAACATTTTGGGTGCATCCTATATTAAGTGATAGATTAGAATATGGGAAACATCATACCTTGCACTCTAAACTCAGATGTTACCCAGATAATTTTTTTTATTCTACAGAATGAGTATTTCGCCTTTTGATGAGCTCGTATATCATTTCATCTATGAGTTCTTCTACTTTTTCGTTTGCAACATGTGATCGGGTGGCAGATGTCGCACTCGTCGGCGAAGACCCAAGTCCGAACGTGGGGATATCACCCGCGCGCGTCGGTTCGTCTTACATGTTGCCGTGCGACTAACCGACAAAGTTGGATAGTCCGCGAGCTTGCATAGGGTAACCGTGCTAACGAGCAGTTGGCCGATATTTGGACAACTTTTTAATTGTCATTTGGACAAAATTTTAATCGGAAGGGATTCTTGATTCTGATACGATCGGTGTTCAATTAATTAGTTGGACGATTTAGTTGGACAAGATGTGTGGGCTAGCATATGTCACTATACCTATTGGTATGCTCTGCGATTTAGTCGGCCAACTTATAATTGTAAATCTGCGTTCTCTCTAAGTTGTGTAGGTGGATCTGAAAAGCTAGGCGATTCTTACTCCCTTGCCTTACCCCAGAGGGCGCCTTTCGCTTAGCGTTGTTTGTTTTAGATTATTTTTCGTAGGACGTGCAACTATTTTCCAGGTTAGTTTAGCTTAGTTCACTGAGCCTAGTTTTTACATAGTTTAGTTGGCAGTTGACGTTCGGCTGTAGAATTTAACAGTTTCATCTGTATTAAGCTGTCCAAAAAAGGTCCTTTAAAATTAAGGTACATACTATTTTATCTAAAAGGGTTGAAGAATGGATATATTAGATCGCGCGCTACTCTTGTGCGTGACACTTTGAAATGAGACGAGATCTGTTCTCAATGTAGACTGTTGCTTTTTTTCTGTATTACTACTTTGTGACCCAAGTACATTAGAAGCCACGTGGAATCCACGCAGCATTTTCTAGAGGAATGTTTGGTCTCGCTGGCGTTGCGTTGAGAAGACACTGCAGTGACGAAAAATACCTCTTTCTCGCACCTTTGGAAAAACTCATAGTACTAAATAATAATAAAATTTATCAATGTTTATAGATTACTTAACGGACTATCCAGCGAGAGAGTCCGTTGGATTCGTACTATCAAGGAGCTGGATGTTGGCATTGTCAATTTAATTGGAGACATTCTACTTAGTGCTTGTAAGTAAAATCAAATTTCACGGTTCTGTTTGATTGATGGAAACGGTAATATATATCTACCCTCAAGCTGGTGGGTATTGTAAACGTTTACTATAAGAAAAACCGAAAATATTAAATGGCCTTTGACAGAAAGGATGTACCTATCTTATACACAATTCATTATTAGTCACTAGCTGGTACCTGGCGCGTTGTTGACGCAGAAGTAATAATTGCGGAGATATCGTTTTAAATTTGGAACAGTTATATTATTTAATTAAGATAGACACAACATTCATTTAAATTACGATCCATACTCTCAATTTAATAGCTAGTGAGACGGACCTGTTCTGTTGTACTTTGATTGAATTCTCAAAGACAGCATTGCTTGTAATTTGTAAAAAAAATAATGTAAAGCATGAATACAAATCATTTAGCTACACTATCGCATTAGGTAATCCTGTAATGATAATTGAAAGTTTCAGAATTAAATAAATAATCTTCGAAATAAATTTGTCGGTACTATACGCGTGCCACATACTGTAAGTAAATTGTACTACACCTATAACGTTCACGCAAGTGCAAGCAATAATTTGACAAAGTTTTACCGCAATCTGATGAACGGTGTGGCAGCGCATAATATACGATCAAACAAAAAATATTTTTTACATATTAGATAAAGGTAAAAATAGTGTTGTTTTATTTATTTAGTTGTTGTTTTATTTTATTTTACACCTAGCAATAAGCAATAAAAAAATTAAATTAAAATACGGAACATTCTAGTAAATTTAACAAATTCCCGTTAACAAGTCCAAATAATCTTCAATGAATGCAAGAAAGGAAGAAAGAAATAAGTATAGTATTAGAGTGGTTCATGTTCATAGTCTAACTACTAACCAATAGAATCAAACTTCGACATTTTCACGTTTACGGATCATAAGAAACAGAAACAGAAACTTTTTTATTCAATATAGATTATAAATAATACTTATTGAAAGTCACTCTTTTGTATGATTACCACTGGTTCGAAAAAAAAAAACCTCTGTCCTGGGAAGAACCAGCAAGAAACCCAGAGGGACTTTTTTTTTAAATAACAGCTTACAATCATGTATGTAACACAAATTAACAACACAATAAATTAGAAATAGCTTGGTAGCGATCACCTCATACACTTAACTATTATTTGACTACTGTCATTTTGTCCGGGTTAAGAATACTTAATTCTCCTCAAAGGTAGACTTAAGCCCGCGATCGACGAGCGATCCATAAACTTGCGGTAAAGATTAATACGGTTTTACCCACTGTTCGTCGGTCCTCATACACTGGCGAGCCATTTTATAAATAAAATTAGAATGACAAACGAGGACATAGTGCAACTGACGGTAGGTGGATGTGGTGACCCATAGACATCTACAGTTATCCTCAATGCGTCTTGGCGAACTTTACATGTCTTCGAAATTTTTCTTTCTTATTTCTCAGACATGCAGGTATCCTCATGATGTTTTACTTCACCGCCGAGCACGTGGTAAATCAGCATAGATCCCGGCTTGCTCAAGTACTGTGAAATTTACAGCGAGCGCTCAGCCCCTGGGCTACCACGTATAGCCAAATAGTTATTCTTTAGATTATGTTGAAGCAACGTGCCAAAGTCCACACAACGCTGATAAGCTCCTCACTGAACCGCAGATTTGCGATGATCCACCAACAAGCTTTACAGGCGAACCATCAAGAGCGTAAAGTTTTAAAATTAAAGCTCAAGTCGATTAGAGCAATGAATGTGAGTACGAATCGGTTTGTTTCCACTGTTACCTTCCCATTTGAAAACTATTTAGTGCCTAAACTTTAAGCACTTTGGTAGTAAGTACAAGTCTGTTGGTTATAAAATAACTAAATTAATGTAATTTTATGAAAACCTCAGGTGTTTATCACGCATAAACTTTTCCAGTGAAATTGATTTTGATTAGTTTTGGTCACTTGTTTACGAGAAATAGATAAAAAGTTCGTTAACATCCGAACTTTACGTACTGTTAGAAAATGCCAACTTCAAGCGTTTTATCGAATCCAAGGACAACAAGAGTCTTCTATTCCTGGTGTAGAAATTCATAACCAAAAAAATACTTATTTTATAACATAACTAAGTGTTTAGGTGACAGGATAAAGAGTTCAAGAGGATCTTCTATATTAAGATATATTTCAATATTCATATTAAATGTGATATATTCGAGTTGCTTTTGTTACGAATATTTATATGATTCATTTCATGTTATCTAAATAAAAAAAATGACTCATGAACACTAATTTCTAAATTAAATAATTTTTAACACAGCCGCAAAATGTATCCCGTACGAAATTTCAAAATACATTAACAACAACTTGAGTTTTATGTCAGCATGTCTTATCAGGTCCTCACTCTTATCTAGTAGTGGGCCGTCTTACACTCCGCTTAGCCGCTATGAGACTGCAGTCTAGAACATTTCTGAACTATGTGCTATGTCGGATACTTAGTATCCTATAGATATCATTGTTACAGATTATATCAAGCAGAGAAACTCTGAGCATAGCTATCTCCATAGCTTGTGACTTCATACATATGAAGTCTCTCATACATGTCACACATGTCCTCATCCGGCCAGAAGTGAAAGACTCCTCAGAGCCACATGTCAACAACAATTCAGCAACTATTTTGTTTTCAAGTTTTGAGGTATACGTAATGAAATTATGTGTCATAACCTCTCGAATGCTGCTCAGCTAAGTTAAATCCGTCGATTGCATAAGAATAAGACCACCACATTTCTGTTCCACGCCTCCAGAGTAGATCCACCATAGAACATAGAATTGAGCAGGTTCTGAAGGACTTAAAGTATCGATTATCCGCCTGCTTTCAAAACCACCAAAGTCCTAGGTCGCTGGCAATACTACTGTTGCAGTCACTCAAGTTGTGAAATTTGGCACTTTTACGCAGACAGATTTCTGACAACGACATTGGAGCCTTGGTTCAGCACTATCGATTTTCCAATGTAACTGTATAAAGTTACATGAATCTCGGAACATACATTAAAAGATCTGTCTTTGCAGTTGCTTGCACGCTGTTATAGCAGACTGCAGTTTTATTTCCCGTCGCCATGAGATTAAGAAGGTTATCGAAGTTTTTGATTTTTCTACAAAGGGTTTTGCAAAAGTTAGCTCTTACCAAATGGACAGTTTCCACGAACTTGTCACATCCTCCACTTTATTACAATCTTCTAGGCACTAAAACGATTTTGTTATTTGAAATAAGAATTTTCAATGGTTTTGATTAAAGCACGAGGGGAATAGAACATTGAATTCATTATGTGTGACCTCTCTCCATCTTTACGTTAAATTTTGTGTACATGTAGACAATATTTGGTGATTCTAAGGACACACTGAACTGTTCACTTAGTTGTCATAACGAAGTCAATCATATTGTAGGTGTAACTAAGCATAGCATAATGGTATTTTGTGATTTTAAATATAAGGTATGCAACCCTTGTCGATATACTCTTTCATCTTGTTCACGTTGTTGATGATAGCTTTACGGATAATAAATCCAACACCTTGGGATAGATGATGGCTCCCCCGGCGATAGAACAAGATGCCGGATTCGAGGATTAAAGTGTCCTTACCCTGTATTTCGACCTCAATATATCCTACATATCCCAATACAACTTGTCAACCTCTTTTTCCAGCTCCAGAAACTTCTCTTTAGTTATCAGGGAATGTGCGTTCTCAAGTTGAGTAGTCTAAGGAGGAAATCGAATCTCCTCTGAAAATTCATAGCACCCCACAACGCCATTGCTATGGTCATCAGCAAAACTAGGCATAGTGATACCATTGTGTTCGATTTTGTGTACCTTACATGTAAAAAATATTTTCAAATGATATGAAACCCAACAACTAGACTAAAAATCACCCACACTGGAGTGGGTCCCAGACTTTTCTAAACCGGTAATATAAAATTGTGAATTGTCCATTATGAAATTCATAAATATTAGACTTCTTCTTCTTCTTCTGCCGCTGGTTCTACCAAATAACAACTGATAGCTTTGAACTCGGTGGAATGGCGAGCTACAGGGCTTGAGGGTTTGCAATCCTTTTTTAAGCAAAACTCTCTAGTTAAAGTAATCAACTACTAACTATTAACGAGTCTGACCTCTCACTTTCGCTAGTATATGCTAGAGCTGCACTTTTTAATTCTTCCTTCCTTTTTCCACCATTTGTCAATATGAACGAAATATGAAGGAATCACATCACACCAAAGGATTCAAGTAACGGTTAATTTGGTTTCTTCAAAAAACCTAGAAACTTACCAAGTGGTAAGTTTCTAGGTTTTTGGTTTTTAATCAAATCCTGGCCTATTTATCAATATAAAATTATGGTACGCAAGCAACTCGGTTCACATTCCTGCCAACACCAATAATATTTTTGATGGCAAATTCCAGTATGCCAGCATAGGGAATAAGTTTTGGTGAAATTCAGGTTTCTCCCAAGCATGAGATAATTGTTTAACACTGGAACATATTGTGTCGCATGTTTCTTAACACAATTGTGAATTATTGGTGACATAAATGCTTTTAATACAATTTTTATTCTTATGTGGTTCGCGAATGATGAACAAATAGGAAGTGTATCTTAGCCCTGTAACTGTAGGTGTAACAGTTCTTTTCGTACACCTACACTCGCAAGGTGCAACGACACAACGTGCGAACGCACTCACACAACGATTGGATCGGTCAGTATGGCCGATCCGAAAGAACATTGCAATTACTGACTGACGTCATATGAAGGAAAAGTACTGTGGAATTAAATAAATGCTTACTAAGATTTAACTGCGTTGTAAAAAGGGATGTAATCATGAAGCGAATACAAAGTATAATACATATTATAATAATATAGATACAAATACAAATACTTTGCATTTGCTTCATGGATACAACAGTACGTAGTAGAGCTAGAGCCGATCTGCGCCATCATTATCCCAACAACACGAATGGAATGGTGCGACCAGAAAAGGAGCAACATTTTACAAAACACCGGTGTTGAATAGCAGCTTTATACTGCTGTTGTGTTTCATATGGTGAATGTGGAGGGGGCATTACATTTTAGTCCACAGGGAGACAACGCTGTGTTTTCATTTTTGTTTCATGATAGATGTAGGTGTCTATCGGCCACGGCATCTATTTACCATCATGAAGACCGTGTGGTCGTTTGTCAACATAATCCTGTAAAAATCGGACACATGCTTGCTCTAGTTCATTAGATTGAAAAAAGTATATTTGGCCTCCAGGGACATCAACGTTGATTTGGAATTATTAAAATTGTAATATTACAGCTCCCAGGTGGGTAGTTAATTAATTTGAAGAGTTATATTACAACTCCCAAAAGGGAGTATAATATATTTAAAAACTATATCTTCAAAGTTTGGTAAATGTATTTTTTTAATAGGATAGGGTGACAAACGAGCACTTAGTCCACCTGATGGTAAGTGGTTGCTGTGGCCCATAGTCATCTAAATCTATCCACGTTTGCGAATCAAAATGCCGATGCGTTGTCATCCGTGAGGACTGAGATGGAATGCCTCTTTTCCAGTAAAAAGGGTCTCCGGTTCTCTACTCTCACTATACGTAACACAGCAGTGTTAAGCTGCTATTTTACGCTGGTATTATGTGAGAGCGTGGTCCTTCCCTGGTCGAGCCAACCCATTCGTGCTACAACTATACTACTAATATAGCTGCAGCATGGCTCTACCACCTATAAATGTATGTATGTTTTAAACGTCAACAATATATTTTTCATACATTTATAAAATTAAAATGATGAATGAAAATCATTCTCTATATATAAACTACTCAGTTTCTACCAGAATGTTTTACACAGGTGCCGTTGGCTACATAACACCTTTCACGGAAGAATTTCGTAAAGAGTTACTCAATCAATGGATTCAACACATGAAGGTGAGGTTGAAGGATGGACTTTATAATCAATATTTTTTAATTTCTTCTTTTTGAATCAGCCAGTAACAGTCACGATATGGTTTACATCTAACCATTAAAGGGAGATTTTATAAATTGTACACACAAATAATATATAAGTCAATACACAGTGTACACAAAAAAAAAAACAGAAATTCTATGAATAATATCACACTGTAAGACTTCATGTTTTTTGTATATATTTGATGCGATATCATTATTAATTTTAAACGGATTTTAATGATTCTTTGTTTAAAAAAAAAGGTTATACTTCATGGGCGTCCCTTTTTGAATTTGGTGAACAAATTCTACCCTTAAGAGTGGAAAAACAGAGCCTGAAATTTTTAATGTTACTATTAAGATGACATTCTGTATGTTACCTTGAACTTGTAATAATCCTTTGTCTACCACGAAAGGGAAAAATTAAATCTCTACATAGTATAAAACAAAGTCGCTTCACGCCGTCTGTACGTTTAGATCTTTTAAACTACGTAACGGATTTTGATGCGAATTTCATCAGTAGAAAGAATGATTTAATAACAAAGTTTATAATTATGTAAAACACATGCATATATATTATATAATTCTTCTGTCCGTGTGTATGTGACTGAACTCCTAAACGGCTGGACCTTGATGAAATTTTGTGTGTGTGTGATTAAGTTGATAAGAGACTGGTTTAAATTCGCAATTGGACCTGGAGTTTTTAATAAAGAGTAAAAGCTGACTTCAAAGAATCAAAAATATCAAAAAATGTCTAGATAATAGTTTCTGAAGTTGGCATCTTCAATTTTTCTATACACTTTTTGGCATCTTCAATTTTTCTATACACTTTCATCGCACCGACTCCAAGAGCTATTTATGTGCTAAATTTTTTATTCTTTTTAACCGACTTCAAAAAGAAAGAGGTACTCAATTTGACTGCATTTTCTAGGTGAACCGATTTCTATGATTCTTTGGTTATTTGAAAGCTGGTGCTTCTCATGTGATCTCACATAAATTTGATCAAAAATCAACCAGTAGTTTTAGATTTATCTTTAATAAATTATATTGAAGTCGGAAGTACAAAATTTTTAATATTACCACTTGTTAGTTCTTTGAAGTCGGCTTTTACTTTTTATAAAAAGAATAATTGTTAATAGTTTGATTTCAACAGTTGTGTATTTCTTTACAGGAGGTGGCAGTTCCACATACGGAAGACGCTACGCCTCTTTCTATTCTCGGCGACGCTGTACAGATTAGGTAAGTATATAACACATATTTTTACCTGGTGGAGCCATACTGCAGCTATATTAGTAATATAGTTGTAGCACGAATGGGTCGGCTCAAACGGGGAAGGACCACGCTCACACAGAACACCAGCGTAAAATAACAGCTTAACGCTGCTGTGTTTTGTATGGTGAGTGTAGAGAACCGGCGACCCTATTTACTGGAAACGAGGCATTTCATCTTATTCCTCAAGGGTGGAAACGCATCTGCTTTTTGATTCTTAATTGGGGATAGATGTAGATGTCTATGGGCTAAGGCAACCACTTACCATCAGGTGGATTGTGTGCTCGTTTACCCTTATCCTATTAAAAAATAATAATATGATATAGATTTGAATGGTTTACGGCAGGACGTGGCAGATGTACGGGCTGCCACGCGACCCACTGTCGGTGGAGTCAGCGGTGCTCATGAGCAACTCGCGCCGCTGGCCGCTCATCATCGACCCACAGACGCAAGCCAACAAATGGATACGTGCTATGGTATTATTATAAAATAATTAAAAAAAAATAATTAAATTTTCTGACAACAGAAAGTTATGATAAATAAAGAAATGCCAGCCTCCTACCAGCTAAAACTCCAGGATGGTTACCATCAGCGTATATGAGAAGACCCGGGATCTCCGTTCGGAACGCAACTGGGGCCCCTCTCTCACTTTACTTTAAAGCACGTCCCGGAGGCAGTTCTTTCTGCCCTCGCAGTGCTAGCATGGTGTCTTAGAACCACTCTTGAATATTATAGTCTTCGTAAATATAGCGGTAGTTGAACATCATCAACGACATGAATAAAATTTGAATTCCTTTGTTTCTTGTTTAATGTGTTAAAATAGGAACCAACTGTTACTATTTTAAGTTGTTTCAGAATTTCTGTATTTAAAAATACACAAACCATAATGATGATAATTATGACATCATTACACTATATCCTTATATAATTGGAACGAAGTATCTTATTGGACAGTACAAATTTGGCAGATGGAGGCTAGGCGAGAAAAAGTGTACGAATTTTCTGTCAGGACCCCATCTGAGGTAGTGTAGACAGCCTTGGCGGCTATAAGGAAGCGAGATGAAATAATATCCATCTCCCTCGCACTTTTTCTTATCTTGCCATGAAATAAATATTAATGTTTTATTTTAAATGACGCATCATTTTAATAGACGCTAGTAATTCATTTATTTGTATTTGTCAATCAATAATATAATACGTTTATTGATAATAATATACTAAGAAAGGAACTTCGTTCCAAGCGTGTGTTAAACTGTGACACTCAAGCATGTTTTTTCTATACAAATATTTCTTTTGTAAATTCTAAACATACTTTCAATGCGCCTACGTCTTATTCTGCCACCAGGGTGGCTTCACTTTGGAATGAAGTGAATATTTGACAGATTAAATAGCGGGGAAGTTTGTTAGAAAAAATTAAAAAGGTTAATGATTATTTCTGAAATATTATATTTTATATTAAGTAAATTAAAATGGATAAACCATATTACGAATATTCGAAAATGTAAAAAGATTAAACAAAAAAGTAAAAAATGTGCAAAAAATTAAAAAGCATACACACACACACAGGCATTGTTTTGCGTATAAAGATAATACTTTATAAATTGTTAAAATGTATTTAAAACTAACTACCAAACGATACTGATTGACTTTGATGACATTGTGTAACAAAAACTTCACTTCAGTCCCAACTAGCGTCACCTGGTGAGTGGAAGATTATTATATTATATTACTAGCTGTTCCCCGCGACTTCGCTCGCGTGTTAGGGTTTTTATGTTTTTGCGCCGAACCCTAATACTTTTTCTAAAATAAAAGTTAGCCTATGTTACTCCTTATGAAATCAGCTATTTGCCAGTGAAAGTCCCGTCAAAATCGGTCCGGCCGTTTCGGAGATTACCCGCAACAAACAGACAGACAGACAAAATTTTTAAAAATTGTATTTTAGTTATAAGTACCGTATTTACTTTCATATGCATCTAGTAAAAAACTTTAATTTTGACATTACAAACAGACACTTCAATTTTATTTATTTGTATAGATTTATTTATATTAGTCCCCATTGACTGGTGTCGATTACCAAATTGTGACTACTATTTTGCCTTTTTTACTAATTTGCTTTTCGTCTGCTGTCAAGTGGCTTGTTTTAATGTAACATACGTTATATTTTTATTGTTGTCATTCCATCTCCAGCCATTATGGCCGATTTACACAGGGACAGTTAACTCGCTCCAAATTCGAGGCAAGTCAGTGCTGACACGCTATTGTCATAATGTAAATTGATTAGAAGGCAGTACAGCACTGTTTGCGCGTCTACTGACTGCGTGTATACGGTGCAAGTCAGTCGTCAGCGCCAGCACTGGCGCCTGTTACTGTCCCTGTGTAAATTAGCCATTATACACTTCATGTAAATTTAAATGCAACACAACTTGTTCTGTAGGCACTAATTTATAATTTTCTTACTAATTTTCGTTGTTATCAGTGTGGCAGTTTCAGTGGTAGTCTGCCAGTTTTTATAAAGTTTTTTTTTTGACATTTATTACAAAACTATGGGTGAATTTCCGTATTCCGCAAATACACGGATTATAATATTTTTCATACTTTAAAATGTTTTATTGATATTGCAGGGCAAAATAGAGGGTCTTATAGTTTGCAAGCCAAACGATAGAGACTTGCTAAGAAACTTTGAATCGGCATTAAGGTTTGGAAAGCCGCTCCTCTTGGAGAACGTCGGACAAGAACTTGATCCAGCGCTAGACCCTGTATTGAAGGTAATTGATGATGGTTTTCGGTTTATGTATTTTTATATGTAAGAGCGTGCTTTAAATTTCATAGTTCACGAGCAACCAAAGTTAGATGCCCTGCGATATATACATTAATGCATTAAAGCCTTTCAAAAGTTGACTGTTGGACATACACTTATAGATTACCTCATAGTAGCCGTGTGAGTGAGACGACAAGAGTTTGTTGTTGCGATCGTCAATCCTGTTAAGCGTTACAATTAAGTTGTCTACCCTACAGCGGGGAAGCCCCGGGTCTAGCAGTGGACTTTTACTGGTTGAAGATCTGTACAGCATCGTCAAGAATAAGAAGATAGAAAACTTACTTTGGCGGAACCCCCGGAAACTCTGTCGTTCTCAAAATGATTTCAAATTGATAGTGTTACGTGGTAGAGCCATGCTGCAGCTAATAGTTGTAGCACAAATGGGTCGGCTCGATCGGGGGGGACCAAGCTCTCACAGAATACCAGCCTAAAAAAGCAGCTTAACGCTGCTGTGTTTCGTATAATCAGTGTAGAGAACCATTGACCATTTTTGCTGGAAACGAGGCATTTCATTTTAGTCCTTTACAACGCATCTACATTTTGGTTCGTAATCGAGGATAGATTTAGATGTTTATGGGTCACAGCAACAAATTACCATCAGGTGGACTGTGTGCTCGTTTGTCACCCTCATCCTATAAAAAAAAAACTGTACTTTGTGGAGTTCAAAGCGTAATGACGCGACTGCCAGTCCGTGACGATGAGTGACGTCACTTTTAGACGCGTTCAAGTATAAAGATTAAACACTTGGTTTGAAGAGCGCCTCTCGTCCTCCCACAATTGCGTGTACTATTCCCATCATCACTAATTTGAAAACCACTACACTAGGAAAGACATGTAGTCGTCTATTATACGACACGTATTTTGCTGTGAAAATCTTTCACTTGAAATGAGATATTTTATTACGCGGATTCTTACTTAATTTATTTTTAACATCCTAAATATAATGGATTTCCGCAAAGTAAGGCCTGTTTCTATTACTGTATTTTTTGTTTGTTGTATTATAGTACATGAGGGTAATATGGTCATCCGGTTAATATGATCACTTTCTTATAACTCAAAAATTACAGCTTTGTTTGCATAGATGGCTTTGTAATACGATAGCTCTTCATCCGTCAATCAAATAATAAAAGGTCAAAAGGCCGCTGCTTTATCGACGCCATTTTGACAGTTGAAAATATTGTAAATATTTTAAACGATTTTAGTATTGTGTAGTAAAGCTATTTCTTTTTAAATTGGTTTTCCGAAGTATTTATAATTATTGCCAAAGCTTTTTAGCTATTTCTTTCTTAATATATTAGTTATAGTATACGACTTTGTGTTGTTGTCTCTGTCCTACTCCTAGTTTTGGTTTTATAGGGCGACAAAGCTTAAGGTGACCATATTACCCTTACCTACCTTACTCAGTTATTTCTAATTTCAGCGTCAATACTTCCGCCAAGCAGGTCAACTGGTACTCAAGCTTGGCGATTCTCTGATCCCTTTCGCGGCTGGGTTCCGTCTCTATATTACTACTAAGCTACCCAATCCCAAATACACTCCCGAGACCTCAGTGAAGGTGCAGATTGTGAACTTTGCACTTGTGCCCAGGTTTGTTTTTATAATACTGTAAACACCCTTAGGTAAATTTGAACAATAGGTATCATTATCGAATTATTTGAAAAATATGATTGTTTGTGTTTTATATAGTTTCTATATCATATAATTATTATATAAATATAAATTAAGCAATACCGGTTTAAATAAAACTAATTTTACGGATTTTATCGCGTATATTAACCTATTTTATATTCCCGACGTTTAAAGTGTTAACACAATGAAATATAAAATAATTTATTATAAATAAATATGCACTTATGACACAATATATGTATTTAATTAATATTTGTACAGAGCACTCAATATTTACAGTTTTTGTAATCACGACACTTAATTACACTTTGACTAATTCGACGCGTGTTCTCAAAACGGAATACCTAAGAATCATGATGCACCCTATTTTATAACATTTCCCTTTCCACTTCTCATCCGTTGTGCACGAAGAGGGGCAGACGATGTTGCCAGTAATAAAGTTGCCAACAAAAGTACTTTACAGTACCCATGGTCACGGGGGGACTGAGGTGTATGACGTCCCCATGTCATAGTTAACCACGGCTACCTCCAGATAATTTTTTTTATTAATTTTAAAGTAAAAATAAGAAATTTTTATTTAAACAATATCGGAACCACGTTCCCGAATCGCCGAATTCGAAAATTAAACTATAACATCAATTGCGTGCACTATCCCCATAAACTAGGTAACACATCATTTTATTTTATGATTTTAGCTAACTAGTTTGTAACATCTTTAATATAATTATCTATTTGTATTTATTTACCAGCGGTCTGGCTGAACAGCTGCTGTCAATCGTGGTGGCACAAGAACGACCAGACCTGGAGGAGCAGCGCGGCCAGCTCATAGTGACCCGCGCTCAGATGGCCACACAGCTGGCCGACATGCAGGCAGACATACTGTACGGATTGTCCAACAGCGAGGGCTCGCCCGTCGACGACCTGCCCCTCATATTGACCCTGGAGGCGATAAAGATCAAGAGTGCTGAAATTATTGTAAGTCGCTCCTTTTGTTGTAGGGGTGCCGTTTTCTTTGCACAGTGATCCACATATTAGAGGTATATAAAATGTGGTTTGATTAACAATCTACAAGAAGAGAAGGAGAAAGGAGACATTTTTATCGTGGGAAAATTTTCATGGACATCTTTGGCGTCGAATATAGAAAGTTCGCGGTTTTTAACTCTGTTTAAGTGTCATCGCACACTACAATGCCCCGCCACCGGACCGGCTCCGCCTCATCTTAAGCTGAAACTTTGAAAAGTGAGCTTTCAATTGTTTTAGGAAGGTACACATTCTAAATTCGATCCCGCGCGCTGGCCTTACGTTGTCCAGTCTAGACTGCCTGCGCCTTTCTGACAAAAGAAAGTTTATGCCAGACTCCTACCAGCTAAAACCTCACGGGGGTCACTATCAGCGTATATGAGAAGACCCGGAATCTTCGTTCGGAACGCAACTGGGGCCCCTCTCTCGCTTTGCTTTATTAAAGCACGTCCCGGAGGCAGTTCTTTCTGACCCTCGCAGTGCTATCGCGGTGTCTTAGAACCACTCCAAAGTCACCGTTCTCCTCATGAGTCGCATTGCTAGAAGCTTGGGAACTTCGCCCCGAGTCCCGTAACCCCAAAGACCCCATTTCTAATAGGGAAACACCATCGTCAAGCGGATGGACATAGCGAACGCTATCCAATCAATAACATCATCATCATCATCATCATTACAGCCCTTCACAAGTCCACTGCTGAACATAGGCCTCCCCCAAAGAATGCCACAAAGCACGGTCCTGAGCCACCTGCATCCATCGACTTCCTGCATGTCTTACCAGGTCGTCACTCCATCTCGTGGGGGGACGCCCTACACTTCGCCTACCGGTACGAGGCTGCCACTCGAGAACCTTTCTTTCCCATCGGTTGTCGGTTAAATCAATAACAATAACCAATAACCAATGAGATCTACATCGCGCTATCAAAGTTTCCGAACATATATGTATTTTCTAACTACACAACATTAACCAGCAGAAGATCCTAGGTAATAACCTAAGGTTGATTTAGGACTATTTAAATCTGTGTTATAGTATCTATTCATAAAGTCTTCATAGTGAAGTCAAAGATCACGAGGAATGTTCGAGGACAAGTGAATTCTGTTAGCACGTACTGAGTAGTTCTTTTCGGAGCATTCCTACTAATTTCTACTAATTTTTATCGCATCTATCACGGGGAGTGCTCTGAGGAATTGTTCGGACTAATTCCAGCCACTCAATTTCACCATCGCACATCGCGACAAAACTCGCGATACCATCCATACCATCTGGATGATTGGTGGTCCATCACTGTGCGATTTAGAAGAAGTTTTCTTCATCGCACAATTTTCTTGTGGAATCGATTATCACCAGCGATTTTTCCGGACCGATACGACTTAGGGATCTTCAAGAAAAGAGCCTACTCCTTTTTAAAAGACCGGCAACGCATCAGCAATTCTTCTGGTGTTGCAGTTGTTCATGGACGGCGGTAGTCACTTACCATCAGGTGAGCCGTATGTTCGTTTGCCCACTCTCCTATAAATAAAAAATATCAACGGTGGAACGTTTTTATGTATTTGTAAGTGTGACAAACAATCACTAAATCCATGTGATGGAAAATGGAATTTGTGGCCCATAGGTATTTACAACTGTCCCCGATTAAGAATTAAAATGCAGATACGTTGGTCACCTCTCAGGATAACGATAGAACGTCTAGTAACAAAGTATTCATTTTACTTGGTCGAGTCACTCTTCAGCTATATCGGCTCCATCGGGGAAGGACCACGCCCTCACAGAATACCAGCGTAAAATAGCAAATTATTGCTGCTGTGTTTCGTATAGTGAGTGTAGAGAACTGGAGACCCTTTTTACTGGCAACGAAGCATTCCATCTTAGTCCTCAGGGGTGAAAACGCATCGGCATTTCGATTCTTAATCGAGGATAAGATGTAAATGTCTATGGGCCACAACAAACACTTACCATCGGATGGGCTATGTGCTCGTTTGCCACCCTCATTCTATAAAGAAAGCACAGTTTTCGTCGCTTGCTTTAGAAAATACCGCAACTATTTTAAGTTGGTATAGCATGGAAGCGTTCTTCCCCGTGTCGTGTAGTGTTGGCTTAAGATAATCCACTACCCTATATCTTCCCGTGGGTGTCGCAAGAGTCAGCAGAGGGAAATTTAACAGGAGATAGGCAGCAGCATATTCTTAATAACAGAACAAAATAATAAAAAAACATCGGTCACTAACCCTCCGGCTAAGCGTGACAACTTTGTAAAATATCCCCTATGAGGTAATCTACTGGGAAGACTTATTTAGTAGCGGACATTGATAGAGTGTAACACTGATGGCGATGATGATTTGGTGTCTTCTGAGTTGAAATATATTCCTGGTCTAGCTACTATAATATACTCTTTTACGTGGTAGAGCTATTCTTCAGCTATATTATTATGGTTGTAGCACGAGTGGATCGGCTGGACTAGGTTAGCACCACGCTCTCACAGAATATCAGCGTAAAATAGCAGCTTAGCGCTGCTGTGTTTCGTATAGTGTAGAGAACCGGAGACCCTTTTTACTGAAAAAGAGGCGTTCCATCTTAGTCCTCACGGGTGACAACGCATCTGCATTTTGATTCGCAAACGAGGATAGATGTAGATGTCTATGGGCCACAGCAACCACTTACCATCAGGTGGACTGTGTGCTCGTTTGTCACTCTATCCCATAAAAAAATATAAGCTGCAGTGCAATTTCTATTAGAACTGCTTAGAAACTATATTATTTTTTCTATAGATAAAAGTAGAAGACATAGAACGCACAACAAAGGAGATAGACGATGCTCGACAGGGCTACGTGCCAGTGGCGAACAGGGGACAGATTTTGTTCTTTTGCCTGTCCGGTATGGCCAACGTGGACCCCATGTATCAGTACTCGCTGGAGTGGTTTGTGAAGCTCTTCGTTCGGAGCATGGCTGAGACTGAACCTAATGGTAAGATATGTAAAAAACAAAACCGGGTGTGGGTCTTTCGTGGACACGGCCGTGTGTTTTACGTGAATACGTGTACGTAACGTCTATTTAAAATTTTATACTAAACGGAAATTATGTAACTCCCACCTCCGCCGCGCGTGATGCGTCACAGTCCTCACTCCACGTAACGAATTCTTCGCTCCTTTAGTTTAGCTATCAAGTGATGTAATTAAATTTTGGATGTAGATGATAGATACGTAGCTCAACACCGATCTGTATCTCCCGATTTTTAACCGTCTTCAAAAAAAAAGAGGAGGTTTTTAATTCGACTGTACTTTTTCATGTGTTTTACCACAGAACTTTTTTCTAAACGGACCGATTTTGATAATTCTTTTTATTTGAAGCTGGTGCTTTTCATTTGGTCCCATATATATTTGATCAAGATCTGACCGGTAGTTTTTGAGTAATCCTTAATAATACGTATTTAATTGACTTCGTCGTGCCGTGTAGTGGCGGTAAAGAATATCCACTACCCCATATCCTCCCGTGGGTGTCGTAAAAGGCGACAAAGGGAAACAGGCAGGAGATGGGCAGCAGCATCTTCTTGATAACAATAAACTAACAATAAAAAAACTGCGGTTGCCAACCCGCTCGCCAAGCGTGGCAACTATGGCAAATACGGGGGGTATGAATGAAAGTAACAAAGAAACGGCCCCCTGTCCCCGGCGGCCACGCTATTCCTGGCTACGGTGGCGACCATGGTAACGGCGGGGCAAGGTCCTAAGAATCTCCGGTGGAGGTTCGGTTGCCACCTTAGACGACTCGACCTGGCAACGTACAACGCACGCACCCTGAGGACTGACGAGAAGATCGTGGAGCTGGAAGAAGAGATAGACAAGTTGCGCTGGCATATTATAGGATTATCCGAAGTCCGAAGAGACGGGGAGGCCACGGTAATCCTCGAATCCGGCAACTTGCTTTATCACCGGGAGGGCGACCATCTGTCCCAAGGAGGTGTCGGATTTATCGTCCACAAGTCTCTCGTTAACAACGTTGTAAAGATCGGGAGTGTGTCGACGAGGGTTGCGTACCTTATACTCAGAATCACCAAACGGTATTCGCTGAAGGTCATACAGGTTTACGCACCAACCTCGGCACACCCCGATGAGGAGGTGGAGGAAATGTATGAGGATATCTCTAGAGCCATGCATTCCTCCAAAACCCAATATACGGTGTTAATGGGAGACTTCAATGCAAAACTAGGCACAAGAGGGAACGGTGAGCTGAAAGTAGGGAAATTTGGAATAGGGCAACGGAACCCAAGGGGCCAGCAGCTGGCCGACTTCATGGAGAAAGAGGGACTTTTTATGATGAACTCTTTCTTCCAGAAGCGACCCCACAGGAAGTGGACCTGGTCGAGCCCCGACGGTTCGACAAAAAATGAGATTGACTTTATTATGACGACCAGACGACAACTGTTCAGTGATGTCTCCGTGATCGCGAGGGTGAAAACTGGTAGCGATCACCGAATGGTTAGAGGCACACTGAACCTAAACGTTAAGTTGGAGAGGTCTCGTCTAATGAAGTCAACGCTCCGTCCCCGTCGTGCTTTGTTCCAAAGTCCCGAAACCTTTCAGCTTGAGTTACAAAACCGTTTTCAGTGTCTAGAAGACTGCAAACGATATGAATGACAAGCTCGTGGAAACTGTCCATGCGGTCGGAGCTAAGTTCTACAAGACCCGCCGCAGAAGAACACAAAAACTCTCCGATCACACTCTTAATCTCATGGCTGTTAGACGGGAGATGAAGCTACATTCTTCAACAGACTTAACAGCATACAGGCATCTGAACAGACAGATCTCCAAATGCATGCGGCGGGACTTACGCAACTTCAATACAGCTCGTATTGAAGAAGCGATCGAGCGGAACCAAGGCTCCAAAGTCTTTGCCAGAGATCTGTCTGCCAGCAAGAGCCAACTGTCAAAGCTGAAGACAGAGTGTGGCAGCATCGTTTCCGGGACACCTGAGATTTTGAGTGAGATTGAGAGGTTCTATGGGCAATTGTACACGTCATCGTTGGAGCCACACGCAAGTGTGAGTAACGATCCAAGAGCGAGTCTCATCCGACACTATTCCGAAGATATCCCGGACGTCAGTCTGAGCGAGATTAGAATGGCTCTCCAGCACCTTAAAAACGGTAAGGCCCCAGGCGAGGATGGAATTACAGCGGAGCTTCTGAAAGCGGGTGGAAAACCGGCACTTGAAGTCCTTCAGAAACTCTTTAATTCCGTCCTCCATGGTGGCATTACACCGGAGGCGTGGAGCAGAAGTGCGGTGGTCTTGTTCTTCAAGAAAGGTGACAACGCTCTCTTGAAGAACTACAGACCGATTTTCCTTCTGAGCCGCGTCTACGTGCTGTTTTCGAGAGTCATTACGAATCGTCTCGCGCACAGACTTGACGACTTCCAGCCTCCCGAACAAGCTGATTTCCGAAAGGGCTTTAGCACCATAGACCACATACATACCCTTCGGCATATTGTACAGAAGTCCGAAGAGTACAATTTGCCACTCTGTCTGGCGTATGTGGACTATGAGAAAGCCTTTGATTCCGTCGAAATTTGGGCGGTGCTGCAGTCCCTTCAGCGGTGCCAAGTTGACTGTCGGTATATCGAAGTTTTGAAGTGCTTGTACAGTAGGGCTACGATGGCTATCCGAGTACAGAACCAGAGTACGAAACCTATCCAATTGCAGAGAGGTGTAAGACAGGGTGACGTCATATCCCCGAAATTCTTCACCGCTGCATTGGAAGACGTTTTCAAGCTTCTGGACTGGAAAGGATACGGTATCAACATCAATGGCGAGTACATCACTCACCTTCGATTTGCCGACGATATAGTCCTTATGGCAGAATCGCTGGAGGACCTAAGCACTATGCTCAATGACCTCAATAGTGTTTGTTAGTTGTTGGGAACACTAAGCTCGAAGTTGTTGACGAGTATGTTTACCTGGGACAAATAGTCCGACTAGGTAAGTCCAACTTCGACCGAGAGGTCAATCGACGGATTCAACTCGGCTGGGCAGCATTCGGGAAGCTACGACACATCTTCTCGTCAGACATACCTCAAAACCTTAAAACGAAATTGTACAACCAGTGCGTGTTGCCAGTGATGACTTACGGAAATGAGACGTGATCCTTCACTGCTGGCCGTATGAGAAAGCTCAAGGTCGCTCAGCGAGCTATGGAGAGGGCTATGCTCGGAGTTTCTCGAGATGTCCGCAGTAGAACCAGAGTAACCGACATAGCCCAATGGATTAGTAAGCTGAAGTGGCAGTGGGCCGGCCATATAGCTCGAAGAACCGACAACCGATGGGGAAGAAAGGTTCTCGAGTGGCGGCCTCATACCGGTAGGCGAAGTGTAGGGCGTCCCCCCACGAGATGGAGTGACGACCTGGTTAGACATGCAGGAAGTCGATGGATGCAGGTGGCTCAGGACCGTGCTTTGTGGCATTCTTTGGGGGAGGCCTATGTTCAGCAGTGGACTTGTGAAGGGCTGTAATGATGATGATGATGATGAATTGACTTCGAGTACATTGATGATATTCTCATTTTTTTTAATTTTACCACTTGTGTTCTCATCAGGAAAATATGCAGACCTTATATATCAAAAGGTTTATATTGTTTATTAAGCAAAAATTTTCTAGTAATGGTTATTACACTACTAAAGAGTACATGACTGATAATAACCCCTGGGAATGAGGTGATCGCTACCATGCTGTTTCTAAATGTTTTCATAACAACTGTATAAAATATTATATTGTAAGCCAGGCTTATAAAAAAAAGTCCCGCTAGGTTTCTTGCTGGTTCTTCCCAGGACAGAGGTTTTTTTACGAACCAGTGGTAAAAGTAAAAAAAAAATTAATAAGTATTATGTACTGTAATCTATTCTATTCTATTCAGTTTTCTGAACTGCTTCCCCCACAGATGACATTATTGAACGAGTGGAGATCATCATAGAGCACTTCACGTTTCTTCTATACCAGAATGTTTGCCGCAGTCTCTTTGAGAAGCATAAACTGCTGTTTGCTTTCTTAGTCTGTGCGAGAATTAACTTGGACAAAGGAATCATTAAGAATAACGAATTTAATTTCTTGGTTAATGGTGCCAAGATTGAAGAGGTATATGAATATAAATAGTAATAATATGAACGTTTTTTAACATATTTATTATTTAGATATAGGTAAGTTGCAGTAATGTTATTTGCATTTAACTACCGTTAGAAGTTAATTTTGAAATGTATTGAAACTATAACAGTTGTAGTAACTAGATTAAATAAAAAGAAAAAAATAATAAACTATATAATATGTATGTTTGTATGTATGTGTATATTTATATAAATAAAATGATAGAGGTTTTCAGTTGCGCGCGCATTACGGAAAAACTACTGGATAGATTTCAATTAGGTTTTCTAAGTTTTATTTCTTAGACACTTGGCCCTTATCTAAAAAAATTATTGCGATATAGTTTTAAGAAACAACCATTTTCATAAGCACTACGTATTCAGTGATGTGCGTTTTCTTGCCGCGGAGAACTGGGATAAGCGGTGTAGCGGGCGTGCGTAGTAGAGGGGAAGGCTCTTCTACTTCTGCCTCATGATAAAGTTTCGGCCAGCCACGCATTATTTGCGCGAACGACCTGATGCTGTTCCGTTGTACCTTGATCAATTGCCCCCCGTAGTTTTCTATATCGTTTTCTCAGTAATTGTTCACCGTTAAATAACTAATTTTCATGTAATTCGTTTTCTTACAGTCGTATTTATATAAATATACTAGCTGTTCCACGCGACTTCGTCCGCGTGTAATTTGGGGTTTTAAATGTTTTTCGCGAAACCTTCATTCTTTTTGTAAATTAAAAGTAGCCTATGTTACTCTTTATAATATCAGTCCTGGGAAGAACCAGCAAGAAACTTAGCAGGACTTTTTTTTAAAGTAAATTTTTCATGAATGGTTGTACAAACTATTTACATTTAATGAAGATTAAATAAATAAATAATACTGTTTAGTGGTGGCATCCCATGAATATCGTAAGAGGCGACAGGGACAAATGAGATAGAAGATTGAAAGCAGTATCTTCCTGATAACGGTTCAAACAAAAACCCAACCCGCCTGCCAAGTGCGGGAACTATGGCAAATATCAACCAACCACCAAAAAATGACTAAGGGATGATTTTCATTTATTAGGTAAAAGTTATCCATCAAATAATTTATAACCTGACTGAACATAAAAGTGAAACGAACTATTTTCAACCGACTTTAAAAAAGGAGGAGTTTCTCAATTCGACTGTATCTTTTTATGTGTGTTACCTCAGAACTTTTTCTAGGCTTCTCATATGGTCCCATATAAATTTGTAAACACTTTTATTCACGCAACTGTAATTTTTAATTTATTTATGTGGGTTTTTTATAATATGAATAAGTTTTAACTAAGAATTGAAAATACGCCCCAACCTAAACCCTCTCAGAAATGAGAGGTGGCATAGACCCAGCTGTGGGACGTATATAGGCTGTAACTTTAAATTTAACTTTAAGAAAATTCTTTAAATGGAGCTTACTGTAAAATTTTGTTGACGGTCTTTTTTCTCTTGTTATATTCTTAAATGGTCATTAGGAATTAGAAAATCCTGAGCCGAAGTGGGTGTCCGAACGTGTGTGGCTGGAAATGCAGCAGCTCGCATCTGTTCCAAGTATGCATCAGTTCGTGAAGGATTTTGCAGAGCATCTCAAGTTTTTCCGCACTTACTACGAATCCTGGAATCCACACAGGTAGATAACATGGGATGATTTTTGGGATTGATCAGGTAACGAGCACGCTCGCGCAGAATACTAGCGTAAAATAGTGGCTTAATGTTGCTGTGTCTCATATGGCGAGTGTAGAGATCCGGCGACTCGATTAACGTTGACAACAAATTCGCATTTATATTCTTAATCAAAGATAGATGTAGATGCTTATTGGCATCATATTAGTTATTCAGTTATATCAATGGGTAAACAGTGTGCTCATTTGTCACCCTAAGTCAATAAAAAAATCAAAGAGAACATCCCTCTTTACCTCTATCGCCCTCATTATCACTACCACTATTAAATATAACACCACTCTAACCTTTACACTAAGAAAGACACATCACAGTCGATAATACAATACTTATTTCGCCTCTTAGCGCTGTGAAAACTTACTTAACCGTTATCTATCTGATATCGGCCGGATTTTTTCTCACAGAATACCAGCATAAAATAGCAACTTAACGCTGTTGTGTTTTGTATGGTGAGTGTGGAGAACCGGAGCCCCTTTTACTGGAAACCAGGCATTCCGTCTTAGTCCTCCAGGGAGACAACGCATCTGCATTTTAATTCGTAGTCGAGGATAGATGTAGATTTCTATGCGCCATACTTACTATTAGGTGGACAGTGTGCTCGTTTGTCACACTAATTCCATAAAATAAAAAAATTAAAGTCAATCATATTGACAAATCGGATTTCCTTTAAACCCTTCATTCCTTCGTTCACCACCGGCACTCTCCGTTCTTACTCGCACGCACAGTGTCTGTATTATACTGTCTCCCTTTGCTTTTAGTGACGCATCCCTACCCCTGTTTAAATTAACAAACACTTAAAATCACAGCCGTGAATTGTGTAATTGTACGATACAACTCGGAGTGCATCGCTGAGAAGTAACAGACTTGTCGCTTGACGTCGCTAGGTTAGTGCGTGTCCCATTCCGCATTTGACGATTGCTAATTCAAAATTTAAATCCAACCTAATACCAAATGAGTAACAAAACGTACAGAGGTAAAGCTTCTAAGGAGCTGTCAAATTTTTACCTATTTTGGTAGGGTTGGCACATGAGGATAAAATTAAATAAACAAAACGTTTATCAGCTTTTATTATATACTTGAGATAGAATATTTTATTTATAAACTACTTATTCTAAATATCTTATTTCATAATTTCTGTTCTTCAGCGATTTGTTCTGCCTTTTAATTAAATTGTAAATTATGAATCTAATGTAAAGTTTTTTAATAATCTATTTGAAAGCACTCACATGGTATAGCAAATATACAATCTTGCACACGTTTTAATATTTCATTACCAATATTTAAAATGTTTCTTTTGAGATCAAAATATTCGCAAAATTTTTACTCAAGTAATTCATATATTCATTTCAGATTCATTCTTTCATTTATTTTCTTTCATTCTTCATATATTCATTCTTACATTGGCTGGAAATCAAACAAGCATCGTCATTTGTCAGCAAGTTGAGTGTTGGAAAATCATTCCAAATAAATATTATACATGTCATTTTTTAGAAAACTTAATACAGGATTTTCGAAGTGATCCCCTCAGAGTCTATATTGTTGTCCTTTTAATAATTAAAAAGTTTTTAAATGATACCTTCTCGTCCGACAGCTTTTAACTACACTTGCTTGTGAAATAATAATAACTAAAAAAATCATGAACCTTCTAGAACTGGGTAGGTCACTTATAAGTGAGTTTCTATGTGCCACATTAAAAATAATAAATTATAGTCAAGTTTTATTTGACACGAATAATTCTTTAAAAAATAAAGTTTGAAATTTATTATTCTTTACATAACCCTGAGTTTGAGCACTGGCCTAGCCGGTTTAAAGCAGTTTCTCTCTGTACGTGATGAGCCGCCAGTGCTCACGCACACACGCGCCTCTGCAAGCATGAGGCGCGGTGATACTTTTTTACTGGAAACGAGTCACTCTACCTTAATCCTCAGGCATGACAATGCATCTGTATTTTGATGCTTAGTCGAGGATAGATATAGACGTCTATAAGCCATAGAATCGACTTATGATTAGGTGGAATGCGTGCTCGTTTGTCAGACTTACGAGAAAAAGGTGCAGACTGCAAGAACGGAATTTCGTAAGTTCTAATTCATCATTCGACTACTGTCATGGATCACAAGTATTCTAAGTTTACCTGGAACCTAGAGTAGTAAACGGGATAATTAGTAATGTTGATAGCATTAATACTATTAATTAAAAATGTTTCATTTCAACTTCTTGTTTTTTTTTATTCATAGATAAAGGGCTTTGTCGCTGATGCGATTATGCCGCCCTGGTAGTTTCAAAAAAATCTTAAATATAATAATTATTTACAATTAAACTTGTTATACTTACTAGTTACTTAATCTCTTATTAACTAACAAATACAGTTTTTTGGCATCATCTGATAACGGGTCTGATAAAAACTTCTTGTTAAGCTCTCTACATTTACTTCTTTATAAAATCACCCTCGTTTTCTGCAGTCATATGCATTTTTATCGTTATATCATCCCGTGGATGTCGCAAGAGGCAGCAGAGATAAACTGCAACAGGAAATGATAACAATGGACAATAACAAAACCATATTACGTTAGCAGTCCACTAATATTACTGCATATTAGTGGACTGCTAACGGGCCGATAAAATTGCACTTGTTTAATTACAGACTACCCTTTCCAAAGCCACTGGATAGTCAGCTGGACGCTTTCCAGAAGCTCCTGGTACTAAAGTGTATTCGCCCGGACAAATTGATTCCTGGACTTCAGGTATTGGATACACAATAATTAAAACTGTGACTACTGTCACAGGGTTTTAATTGTGTATTATTTTATTTCTATTTCACGATTACAATAAAATCGGTAACAACACAGGAAAGTATTAAAGTGCACGAGGGTGTGCGTAAGCGTAGGTGCTCTCTCTTCTTCCTCACTCTTAAAATTTGATGGGATATGTATATTGGTACAATACATACATGCAACATAGTACGGTAAAACTTGGTTAAGTGGGACCTGGATAAGTGAGAAACCTCCATAGCTGGAACTCATGTTTAGATCCCGACACTTTAGCACTGAATTAACTCTGTTAGTGGGACAAAACAAACCTCTATATCTGGAATTAGTTCTTGCGATGTTATCGTCATAATTACCTCTATAATTGAGACAGCGAGTATATTTTACCTCTTTTACTGAAACTATATTTTAGGGATTAGTTCTTTTGAATTTATTTGTCATAATTATCTCTCTAATTCAGACAGCGAGTATATTTTAACTCTTTCACTGAGACTATATTTTGTTTACCGTTTTGATTACTAATACTTATTCTACCCGCAAATTCCGCTACTTTGCTAATTGTGTCAAAGTGACTTCCAGTTTTAGTTTGGTTTTGCTATCGTCCGGATGTTTATTTGATATATTTTTGTTTAATAGCTTTTTCATTGTTAATAAAGATTACAACTCATGTATAATGTTAACATAATACGTTATTTTATTTAATAATCGCACCTCTATAACTGAAATAACCTCTATTCTCACCTCTATTAATGGAACCCTCTGTAAATGAGACAGATATTTATTTATCTGTCTCATCATACTCTTTTAGTGAGACAAATTTGCAGGTCCCTTTAGGTCCCAGTTATCCAGGTTTCACTGTATATGAATAATTACTACACGTGGGAAATATATATATATTATATAAACCAATAATACATAATCAAGTTATACAAAATAATGTGTCTGAAGGACTACGTGGTGAGCGGGCTGGGCGGCAGGTTCGTGGAGCCGCAACCGGCGGACCTGGGCGCGCTGTACGCCGAGTCGGACCCGCTGGCGCCCGTCATATTCGTGCTCTCCACTGGCACTGACCCTGCTGCCGGTGCGTATATCGTTAACACAATACAACAAAATAACAAGGTAAAAACATTTATTTTAACACACACACACACAAACACAAAATATAGATAGTTTTATATATTAATAGCCACGTAAAAGATTATTATAATAACAAAAAGTATAAAAAATATATACAATTGCGAAGTAATAGCTTTATGAAAATATTTTCAGTTAATAAAGATTATAAAATATGTTTATATTAAATGCCATTTAATTAAAAGTAAAAATTGACTACCGTTTGATAACGGTCGCCTCTTACGCACCAACAGGATGATTCCCGTTCATTGAGTTATATGTACTACGTACTATAGAAGGTATTCCAAACAAAAAATGTACTCTACTCTGTGTCTTCGCGGATGCGCAGGAGATAGTAGAGCCGCGCATGCGCAGTTAATATATGTATACCTATTTATTCACTTGAACAACAAATAATTTTACTTGACCACTGAATTGTTATTTACGTCCAAGTTTAAACTTATTTTGAAATCTCGTATTATTAGCGCCGCTGCACACTGCATGAATATTGTAGCCAAACTAAATGACACTAAAGTACTTGTAAGGTGTACGGATTGCTGTACAGTTCAGTTGAAAACAGTGAATGTTCGGAATGCGAAATCTAGTGCGTAATACATATAATATATCGATGTTCCCGTTGGTGTCATATGAGGTGAAATAGGGAAACAAATCAGGAGATGGCAGCGTCTTCCCAATAATGAATAGAAATAAAAAACTGCGGTTGCTAACTCGCTTTTCAAGCGTATATGGCAAATATCCTCCATATGAGGTAATTATTGCATTGGACTTCAATTGACTGTAACGGTAATGATAAAGGTAAAAATTAACTAAGCATATTATACCTAGCCAGGTCATAAGTATTGTCACACAGTAAAAACTTTTCTTTTAGAATGCTGGCCACAAAAAAGTTTATTGAATTCGAATTTCGAATTGTTCATGAAAATAAAACTGTATACTTTTTAGAATTTTACTCATTTTTAAATATGGAGTGGACGCTTAAAGAAGACCGTGTTGCAGTTATTGCGTTGCATCGTTGCGGTTACGCGCCAATTTAAATTTTTGACATACTGAAAAATTTGAATATAACCAAAAGATTCGTTTATCGTACCATCAAACGATACAATGAAGACTCTAGTGTGGATGACAGGTCAAGAAGAGGTCGCCCTCGGTCTGTTAGGACTCCAGCAGTGGTAAAAGCTGTGAAGGCGCGAATTCATAGAAATCCCAAACGTAAGCAGAAACTGTTGGCCCTTCAGATGGGGTTAAGCAGAAACACGGTGAAAAGGGTGTTAAATGAAGACTTAGGGCTTTGGGCATATCGAAGAAAGACAAGACATCGTTTGAATGCTCGTCTAATGAACCTGAGACTGAAGAGATCCCGCGGTTTGTTGAAGCGGCACGCGGAAAAAAAATATCGGGAAATTCTTGTTTCGGATGAAAAAAAATTTACTGTAGAAGAGAGCTACAACAAACAAAATGATAAGGTGTACGCACACAGTAGTGAAAAAGCGAGCAACCGTATTCCGCGTGTCCAACGAGGTCATTTTCTATCCTCGCTCATGGTATGGTTGGGAGTTTCTTATTGGGGCTTAACAGAGGTACATTTTGGTCAGAAAGGTGTAAAAACGAATGCAGATGTGTATCAAAATACAGTCCTGACGAACCTTGTGGAACCTGTTTCTCATACCATGTTCAATAACAGGCACTGGGTATTCCAACAAGATTCGGCGCCAGCTCATAGAGCGAAGAACACACAAGACTGGCTGGCGGCGCGTGAAATCGACTTCATCCGGCACGAAGACTGGCCCTCCTCCAGTCCAGATTTGAATCCGTTAGAATTACAAGATATGGCAACACTTGGAGGAAAAGGCGTGCTCAAAGCCTCATCCCAATTTGGAGTCACTCAAGACATCCTTGATTAAGGCAGCCGCCGATATTTACATGGACCTCGTTCGTGCTGCGATAGACGACTGGCCGCGCAGATTGAAGGCCTGTATTCAAAATTACGGAGGTCATTTTGAATAAACTTTAGTGTCAGAAGAATCTATGTTTTGTTAAGTTCATTTTGGTATATAAATGGTTACATAAGAAATAAACTTGTTTCAATTATTTTATATTAAACATGTGACAGAATTTATGACCTGACTAGGTAACTATGAGACATACTAGATATTTCTTATCTCATAGATAAAGAGAAAGAAAATAAGTTTATTTATTACACGTTATAAAATTTGCTTACTACATAAAATATACTACTATTTTAAATTTGGTAAATGGTTACTAAAAAGGTACCTAACTCAGCATAGTCTTAGTACTGATTAATAGATACTCGTACTTCGAAGCTGATCTCCCTTACGAATTTCGGAACCAACAGGACTTAGAGGTCCTAAGTCCCGTTGGTTCGGAAAAATCGCTGGTGGTAAAAGATTCCACAAGGAAGTTGTGCGAGGAAGAACAATTCTTATAAATCGCACTCTTATGGACCGCCAATCATCCAGATGGTATGGATCGCGCGTTTTGTCACGATGTGGGAGAGTGAAATTGAACGGCTGGAATTAGTCCGAACAATTTATCAGAGCACTCCCAGTGGTAGATGCGATAAAATACGCAAAGAGATGCAACATCTCTTCGCAGTGCCAGTAAGTCTAACCGTTCAGAAAGAGCTCGGTCGCCGACGAGTCGAAACGCTCTGCGCTGGATACGATCAAATGAAAGGAGCTGGCACTGTGGAGCCCCGGCCCAGATATGGGAACAGTATTCCTAATAGAAATATGTAGAGATAATTTTTGACATGAAATTTAATTAACCATTTCACTGACCTATGAGTCATATATTAACATTTCGATTGTTTAACTGTTATGTCTTTTTGCGGACAGGGAAGTTGTTAAGTATATTTCTTTTCTATAACCTTTTTCTCTAGGTCATTATTAAGTTATTATTGGTAAGCATATACAAGAAAATGATAAAGGGAAATAACTGGTCCTTCGAGCCGGATCATTTCCTACTTAATGGTCTCTCTCTAATAAGCATAAAGACGATATTACTTATATAAATAACATAATTCTTTAAACAATATTCTATTTGGCAGATCTTCTCAAATTCGCAGAGAAAATGAAGATGGGCAAACGTTTTGAAAGCATTTCTTTAGGTCAGGGTCAAGGACCGATTGCCGAGAACATGATGAAAGTTGGTTGTGACTTTGGCAACTGGGTTTTCTTTCAGGTATTTATAAATAGTAATATAAAATGAATCAGATGATTAGCTAGCTTATAATCTGTATATAAAAATTACGTGTCACGTTGTTTGTCCGCGATGGACTCCTAAACTACTGAAATGATTTCAATGAAATTTTGCACGATCATCACGATGCATTTTGGTCCAATTTGAGAGATAGGGTAGTTTTCAACCCGATAAATGACCCTCAAAATTTTTTATTACGAATTTAATGATTTTTATAGGAAGGGTCGTTGGAAAAGGCAGAACTACGTCTGCCTGGAGAGCTAGTTGGTATCTATAAATGTATACCAGAATTATTTATCAACTTTAAAATTCGCATCTCATTGAAAAAAGAAAACATAGATTGAAGTGAACCGCGTTAGCATTCTATCAAATATTGATCGAATGACGTATGACATGATAGTTTTTATTACGTGTTACAATTCTAAGTGTAAAGTCTTGTTTTAAACTAGCAAACAAAGCCAAATAAAAAATGGATATTTAATAAAGCCAGCCAAGTGCGGGTCGGACTCACGCATCAAGGGTTCCAGGGTACCATGGCACGTTATACGTTTTTATTAGGGGAGCCCCTTTAATTTTAATTTTAGTATTTGTTGTTAGGGCGGTAACAGAAATACACATTCTGTAAACAATTCAACTGTTTACCTATTACGGATCATGAGATACAACCCGCTGACAGACGGACGGCGGAGGCGTAGTTATAGGGTCCCGTTGGTTACCTTCTGGGTACGGAACTCTAAAAACTGTGTTTTTTTTATATATATTATAAGGTTGACAAACGAGCACACAGTCCACCTGATGGTAAGTGGTTGCTGTGGCCCATAGACATCTACATCTATCCTCAAATATGAATCAAAATGCAGATGCGTTGTCACCCGTGAGGACTAAGATGGAATGCCTCGTTTCCAGAAAATAGGGTGTCCGGTTCTCTACACTCACCAAACGAAACACAGCAGCGTTAAGCTGCTATTTTACGCTGGTATTCTGTGAGAGCGTGGTCCTTCCCCGGTCGAGCCGACCCACGTTTTGCATAATTGCCTATTTTAATGGTAGTGTAAAAAGACCTAGCGTCTATTCGGTATAGTAGTAAAATAATCTACTTACATATAGCCATAATAGCATAATAGTAGCAGCCATAATAAAGCTGCAAATTGTGCTTCGTAATAAAAATCCCTTTTGAAAAATTTTCTATTTTTAATTCTGACAGAACTGCCACTTATCACCATCGTGGATGCCGGTTCTGGAGCTCAATGTCGAAAATATTCAACCGGAGAGTGTTCACAAAGATTTCCGTTTGTGGCTGACTTCCACGCCGTCGCCGTTCTTCCCCGTCGCGTTACTGCAAAACGGTAAGGATAGATTCTTACTTTGAAAGAAAGAAAGAAAATTGTTTATCAATATCTGAGTATAGAAAACTTGGTTAATAAATGAGTATTGAATTGTGGCAACGAAATAGCTACCCATTTTGTATGATTCTACAACGTTGTTACCGCTGAAAGGCTAACATGGGCTGGAGACAAAAAGTTTAACCCCCAATTATATCCACTGACAAGAAATAAAATTATCTTGTCCTTATGCCAAAACACGGCAACGGGGAGAAGTATATCTCCGTTTGCCATAATGAGTAGACATATATCCCCCGTCCGTAGCATGGGGCCAAAAATGAAAGATAAAACATTATGATATTTTGAGATTTTTGAAAGGGACAATTTTTATCCTAGTTTATTGGACGTGAGTTTAGGTTTATATTCATGTAACAAATCTATCTAAGTCTATCTCCCATTTTATCTACTGTATGCTTGAAGGATGGATAAAACTAAGCGAGGGGATAAAATTGTCTCCTGCCCATGCTAGCCTTGCAGCGCTGTTATTCTGTCGGCGGCCGTGGAGGAGGGAACTGTTGAGAAATATGTGTACATTTAATAATTGTAAATAATGTATAAAAAAAATTTTAGACACTGCTGGGTATTGAACAAAAAGTTTAACAGTTTAAAAGTTTAACTTTAAGTATAAAACAATTTTTAGACACTAGATTTTTTTTTTGATTTCAGTTTATTCTTTTATAATTTGTTCTACTGGTGTTTTCTTTTTATACTTCTTATTAAAGTTTCAGAATTCATATAATTTAGGAAATGCTTGACGTCTCCCTCCGTTACGAAGGTTCAAAAGTTATTGGGATAGGGTGTTCTACATTATGGTCACTTCAAGTACTTATAAATGTGGGCAACACAAATAATTATAGAGAAATTGTATGAGAATATAACTTTATGTAATTGGACATCCCATCGCGTTATTACTACGCCCATCTGTTATTTGGCAATGGAAATACAATTTTTATGAACAATAATTGTTAACAGTAAAATTAAAATGTTTGGGTTATCAGTACGTATTACTCTATAACAATTGTGTATATAATAAATTCCATTAAAACATATAAAATGAAAAATCGACCAAGTTTTAAGACATTAATAAAAGTAATAAACTCTACTCAAGTTTGACATGTTTTGTAATTCATTTAAGAAAATATAACGATATATATATATATATATATATATATATATATATATATATATATATATATTATATATACTTTGGATCACATGAAAATTAATATTCTTTTAAATTGACGTTTTTCTTAAAGGTTACAAAATGACAGTGGAGCCGCCGCGTGGTATTAAAGCAAACTTATTGAAGGCATATATGAATCAAGTTCCTGATTTCGTCGATTATTTCAATTCTAGTGATAGCAAAGTGCAAAACTTTAAGGTAAAACTATGAAATTAAATTCACTGCATTACATTTTTTATGAAACAGAGATTATATATATAGGGTAGTGTGACAAACGAGCACACAGTCTACCTGGTGGTAAGTGGTTGCCGTGACCCATAGACATCTACATCTATCCTCAATAAAGAATCAAAATGCAAACGCATCTGCATTTTATTCACAATCGAGTATAAATGTAGATGTCTATGGGCCACAGCATCCATTTATCATCAGGTGGACTGTGTGCTCGTTTGTCACTCTTATTATATATATAAAAAAAAACTACCTTCACCCACATATCAAATGATGTTACCATTAGCTTTTGAATATTATTTGGAATTAATATTTTTTTAAATCCTTAACATTAGTATCATTTTTAATGTGTAGTATTCGCGGAAATATAATAAATCATTATAAATTAATTTTAATAGTAAAGTAACAAACAGCCTTTATACTTTTCACTGCTTGGCACGTACTTTCATTTCTAATAGGGTTATGGACCAATTAGTTCACTCAGCTGCTCAAGTGCTTGTTCGTGTACTTCACATGTCTGTTTTGTCTCACGCGATGTTTTCCTGCACCGCCGAGCACGTGGTAAATCAGTACTTAAACTGCAATTAACAATTTTATTGGTGCATCCCCACGATGCCGATGCTGGCCTTCTGTGAAGCGCTTAGCCCCAGAACTATTACAGCTCTAAAAAGTACATAATGTTCTTAATATAAAAGTGCGAATGTCTGTTTTACAGTGGCTGCTATTCTCGCTGTGTCTGTTCCACGGTGTTGTGTTGGAGCGTCGTAAATTTGGACCCCTCGGCTTCAACATACCTTACGAGTTCACCGACGGTGACCTTCGGATCTGTATCTCGCAGCTTCACATGTTTCTCACTGAGTACACCGAGGTTCCGTTGCGGGTATGCTCCCCTAAGAAACACTGCTTATATTTGATGTTTTAAAAAAGGCTTGTAAAGTATTAGGCTAAAACCAATATACCGTGTAGTGACGGTGTAAGAATATCCACTATCCCATATTACCTCGTAGGTGTCGTAGACGATAGAGGGAAACTGAACCAGGAGATGGGTAGCAGCATCATTCTGATAACAGCTAAATAATAATTACAAAACTGCGCTTGCCAATTCGCTTGCCAATCGTGGCAACCACGGAAAATATCCCCCCCCCCCTCCCCATGAGGCAACTTATGAGGGTCAAAAGTGGACTTTTGATTTGCTGTAATGGTAATTGCTACAATATATATCTGTATCTAGCTATAAAACTGTGGGAGCTAAAACAAAACTTACCAAAAACTACCATTTTTGGTAAGTTTTATTTTAGTTCAGCCTTCTTTCAAAAAGTGGTTTATGCTTATTCTCAGGTTTCTTATTCTCAGGTTTAACATAGAAATCCGATTCATGATTACACTTATACTAAGGGCTAAGGTACAGTTGTAAGTAAAACCATCTGATGTCAGTTAACCAGGCTACCTTCAGTTTTTAATAATTATTTTTAATAATCATTTAATAATTTTTAGGCTTTTAATAGCTGGATATAAACATTTTCTAAGCTTGATGTTATCGCCGCAAATTGCAGGTGAATTCGTAATTACAGTATATGACTGCTAACATCTTAGTCTCAATTATTAATACCTAATCTAATTGATTCTCGACATGGAAACTATCGAGATCTTAACGTCTTCTAGATGCTAACATACACTGCTGGGCACATCAACTATGGCGGTCGTGTCACTGACGACTGGGACCGACGCTGCTTGCTCTACTTGCTGGCGGACTACTACACCTCGGCGGTGCTCAGTGAACGATATTGTTTCGATGAGAGTGGAGCCTACAAGCAGGTGAGTAGCAACATCAATTTAATCATCTTCATGATCATCATTTAAATTTTCAATTAGCTCATAAATAACTGACTGTTGCACTTTTAAAAGTTGGGAGGGATTGCGGCAGATTTGTGACATATACATATAGATATAAACCGGTCTAAAATATCATTACTTTCGTGATTTACAATTAGCGAGTCTCTCCCGATGAAGCTGTCAACCTCGCCGAAATTATTATGAAACATAATTAAAAATAACAATTTTCAACACCTGTGTCAAAATACTTATACGCTGGTCATTTTAGTCTCGTGGTGTCACCGTCACTTTGACTTAAAGAGATAGAGACAGCACGAGACTTAACGGTAGTCTTAAAATAGTGCAGCGTTTGAGTATACTTTATATTTGAGTATAGCACAGGTGTTTAAAACAGTTTTGTTAATTATGTTGAATTGATATATTTATACGTTTTTTTTTTATAGGAGAGGGGGCAAACGAGCATGCGGCTCACCTGATGGTAAGTGACTACCGCCGCCCATGAACAACCGCAACACCAGGGGAATTGCAGATGCGTTGCCGGCCTTTTAAAAAGGAGTAGGCTCTTTTCTTGAAGGTCCCTAAGTCGTATCGGTCCGGAAAAATCGCTGGTGGTAAACTATTCCACAAGGAAGTTGTGCGAGGAAGAAAACATCTTCTAAATCGCACAGTGGTGGACCGCCAATCATCCAGATGGTGTGGATGGTATCGGGAGTTCTGCCGCGATGTGCGTTCGTGAAATTTGGCGGCTGGGATTAATCCGAACAATTCCTCAGAGCACTCCCCATGGTAAATGCGAAAGAAAATGCTAAGAGATGCAACATCTCTTCGCAGTGCCAATGAGTCGAGCCGATCGGAAAGGACTCGGTCGTTGACGATTCGAGCCGCTCTGCGCTGGATGCGGTCAAGTGGAAGAAGCTGGCACTGGGGAGCCCCAGCCCAGAGATGGGAACAGTATTCCATGTGAGGCCGAACCTGCGCCTTGTAAAGTTGCAGGCGTTGAGCCGGCATGAAATACTGTCCCGCTCTGCTGAGCACGCCAAGCTTTTTAGAGGCCAATTTGGCCTTCTCTTCCAAGTGACCACGAAACTGCACGCTACTCGATATGTCGACGCCGAGGATTCCGATACTGGCTGAGGCAACAAGGGGAGTGCCTTGAAACTGAGGAGATACGACAAAGGTGTTCTTTTTAGCGGTAAACGCGCAAACTTGTGTCTTCTGAGGATTAAGCTGGACTAGATTTAGTCGCGCCCAATCCGAGACTTTGTCCAGCAAAGACTCGACTTCAGACACAAGTTTGTTCCGGTACTCGGTGACGTTTTCCCGAGAAATATTGGCACGGCCGGTGTATAGAGCATCACCAGTGCTGTCATCTGCATAGCAATGAATGCTACCAGCTTGCAACATATCATTGATATGCAGAAGAAACAGCGTTGGTGATAGCACGCAGCCTTGTGGAACACCAGCGTTAATAGGCTTGTAGTCGGAGCATGCACCGTCTACAACGACCTTGATGCTCCGATCTGCAAGAAAGCTGGTGATCCAATTGCATAATTTCTCGGGAAGCCCATAGGAAGGGAGCTTCGAAAGAAGCGCTTTGTGCCAAACCCGATCGAAGGCCTTCGCAATGTCCAAACTAACGGCCAATGCCTCCCCCTTGGACTCTACTGCCAACGCCCATCTATGAGTTAAGTAGACCAGTAGATCACCAGCTGATCGACCCCGACGAAAACCGTTCCTCAAGGTACCGCATGAGTTGGCAGTTTACAACGGATTCCATTATTTTGGAGAACAAGGGGGTGATGGCGATAGGCCTGTAGTTGGACGGATCTGAGCGGTCGCCTTTTTTAGGGATCGGGTGGACAAAAGCTGTCTTCCATAATTTCGGGACTACGCCTAGGGAGTAGGAGTACCGGAAAAGACGCGTTAGAACCGGTGCTAACTCCGGAGCACACATCCTCAGCACAATTGGGGGGATTCCGTCAGGCCCACTCGACTTGTGGATGTCAAGGGAGAGGAGTGCTCTGCGAACCGAGCGCTGTGAGAATCGCACATCCGGCATGGAGCACTCACACCGCGGGATGGTCGGCGGTGTGTTCCCCCCGTCATCAACAGTCGAGTTGGACGCAAAAAGGGAGCCTAAAAGGTCGGCCTTCTCTTTTGCGTCGTGGGCCAGTGAGTCGTCCTCCCTGTGCAGAGATGGTAGTGATGGCTTACAGAAATTCCCTTGGACAGCCTTGGCGAGAGACCAGAATGCACGGGTTCCCGAAGGAAGGCGAACTAGTTTCTCGCCAATTCTGCCTATGTGCTCTGACTTTGCCTTGGCAATAACTCTTTTGAAGGACCTGGAGGCGAAGTTATACTTCTTTTTGAGTGTGCTGGTGTTTACATCCCGAGTCACCGAAGCCGCAGCCCAGGCTTGATAACACTCCTGCTTACTGCGTAATGCAGTCTTACAGGAGCGACCAAACCAAGGCTGAGATTTGCCTCCGATGGGTACCACAGATGATGGAATAAATAGTTCCATTCCCTGTAGCACCACATCAGTGACAGAGTCAGCAACAGCGCTGGGATCATCCGGCGAGAAGCAAACCCGCCCCCATGGGTAGGAAGCAAAGAAAGACCGCATTCCGTCCCAATCCGCCGACCTGTAATGCCAAACACGGCGGCAACCTGCAGAACGCAACCGCGAGGGGAGCGTGAGTGGCAACACACTCCGGATCAGACAATGGTCCGAAGAGCCAAGAGGGGCATCGACGGAAACCTGATATCCGTCCGGATGAGAGGTCCAACAGGGAAGGTGTATGATCCTCAAAATCTGGAATCCGCGTAGGCGATGTAACCAGTTGTGTCAGACCATATGCCAAGGCAAAGTCATAAGTAGATCTCCCCGCATGATCGGTTAAACGTGAAGCGAGCCATTCGGCGTGGTGGGCGTTAAAATCGCCAAGGATCACGATCTCTGCGGATGGGACCTGTTGTAGCAAGGAATCTGTAGCCATTTGGACGTGGTCGATGAGTCGGTCTGTTTCGGCATTACCGCTATGGGACCTATAGAGGCACACGTAGACGCGCGGATGGTCGTCGCTGTCTACGCGTAGCCAAAGGATGGACAGGTCCGAACCTTCAAGACTGCCGAGGCGTCGAGAACAGATGTCCTCTCTGACATACACGCAAACTCCAGCCCGAGGCACAAAGGAGTGCTCCAATTTGTACCCCGGGTAGGAGAGATACGAAGTATCAGCCGGAGAGGACACCTGCGTCTCGGTCAGAAAGAGCAAGGCCGGCTTCGCCGTCTCAAGATGGTAGTGGACGGCGTTTAGGTTCGAGTGAAGTCCCCTGATGTTGCAGAAATTCACGGATAGCGTGGCAGGGGTCGCCTTGGTTTTGTTGCTCAGTTTGCCCCGAGCAGTTATTGTGTTGAGCGGAATTTTGCCCCCCCCCCCCCCCCAGAATACGCGGGGCAGCCTGAGCACCCAGCTCAGGAGTGGAATAGCATGGTCGTGGATGCTCAGCGAGGGATTCTCCAGGGGTACTGGTACCCTCCTGGGGTAGTTTATGACGTAATTCCGCTACCATGTTGATGGGGGGGGGGGGGGAATTGGGCATCCGGTCACCTGCACTCACCAGACGAAACGCGGAAGCAGAACTTCCACTTCACGCCGGTATTCTGTGAGGTCGTGGTACTAACCCGGCTCGAGCCGGCCCATACGTGCAACAGCAAAAGCTGCTGCAAGGCTCTACCACCGTTAAATATACGTGGTAGAGCCATGCTACAGCTATATAAATAGTATACTTGTAGCACGAATGGTTTGGCTCGACCGGGGAAGGACCACGCTCTCACAGAATACCAGTGTAAAATAGCAGTTTAATGCTGCTGTGTTTCGTATGGTGAGAGAAGAAAACCGGAGACCCTTTTTACTGGAAAAGAGGCATTCCACCTTAGTCCTCACGGCTGACAACGCATCTGCATTTTAATTCGCAAACAAAGATAGATGTAGACGTCTATGGGCCACAGCAACCACTTACCATCTGATGGACTGTGTGCTCGCTTGTTATCCTTATTCTATAAAAAAAATTTGAATATTTTCACATTGATTTGACAATGCATGTGTATCCTTAGCAACCAGCGTCGGCAACGATCGAAGACTACACGACGTACATCCGCACGTTGCCTCTCAACGACGACCCCGCGCTCTTCGGACTGCACAGCAACGCGAACATCAGCTACGCAGTCTCTGAGACACAGTATTGTATAAGTTAGTCCTCTGGTCGTTTTTATCAGGCTATCAGAACAGATAGGGTCAGAACGGGCTGTAAAAAGGAGGAGGTTCTTAATTTGACTGTATGTTCGTTTTTTTATAGACCGCTCTGTGACTTAGCAATGAGTCGCATTGCTAGGGGCCGCGGGATCTAATCCGGGATAATAAATTTTTATGGCCTACAAATAATTGTGCCGGTTCTGGTTGTTTGTTCTTGTGAAATGTATGTATGCAAACTGCCTCCACGATACAGGACAAAATCCATTTGTAGGTGCAACGTTTAAAAAAATGTATGTACCTACGTCATATGTTTGTAATGTTACCTTGAGATTGTGATATTCTTTAATCTCACCAAAATCATGAAAAAATAACTTTGATGAAAAGTAAAAGAACATCCAATTCCTGCCAAGGATAATACGTGAGTTTTTTGAAATAAAAAAGAGAGAAGGAGAAGGAGGCTGGGTACTAACACCTGTAATCTCAATAACTTCTACTCGTTTCTAGACACCTTACGCGATCTTCAACCCAAAGAGGTGAGTAGTGATGGAGGAATCTCTACGGAAGAGAAGACGGAAAGAGCGGCAAAAGATATTCTAGAAGTACTGCCGTCTCAGCTCGATTTGCATTTTATATCAGAGAAGTAAGTCTTTAACAGCTTAATATTAAAAACGACTGGCTCATTGGTTTAGTGGTCGTAAGCGCGACTGTCGATCACGAGTTCTCTGGATTCGAATCCCGGGTCGGGCCAAAATCAGTTATTGGGTTTTCTGTTAAGAAATTCTCAATCAAGAAAAGTTAACGGTGCTTTACTCCCGCGCCTCGGAAAATACGTAAATATGTTGGTCATGCGCCTGATCTCTCTAGATCTCTCTAAGTGGTTGCTGTGACCCATAGACATCTACATTTATCCTCGATTACAAATCAAAATGCAGATGCGTTGTCACCCGTGAGGACTAAGATGGAATGCCTCTTTTCCAGTAAAATGGGTCTCCGGTTTTCTACACTCACCATACGAAACACAACAGTGTTAAGCTGCTATTTTACACTGGTATTCTATTAAGCCACGCGGCAGCTATAATAGTAGTATAGTTGTAGCACGAATGGGTTGGCTCGACCGGGGAAGGACCACGCTCTCACAGAATACCTACGTAAAATAGCACCTTGACACTGCTGTGTTTCGTATGGTGAGTGTAGAGAACCGAAGACCCATTTTACTGGAAAAGAGGCATTCCATCTTAGTCCTCACGGGTGAAGTGAGTCTGCATTTTAATTCTTTATTGAGGATAAATGTAGATGTCTATGGGCCGCAGCAACCACTTACCATCAGGTGTACTGTGTGCTCGCTTTTCACCATATCCTATAAAAAATCCTAATAAGTGATATATTATAGATATTTGCCATAGTTGCCACGTTTGGCAAGCTGGTTGGAAACCGCAGTTTTTTTTTTATTTTCTGTTTGTTATTAGAAAGCGGTGCTGCCCTACTTCTGGTTTGTTTCCCTCTGTCGCCTCTTACGGTACCCACGAGACGATATAAGATAGTGGTTATTCTTACACCGCCACCACGTGGTCACAATCACGTACGTGTGTGATGTATTCTGATTGACGTACATAAAACAATGGTACTATTAACGTACACACACCAAAACATGTCGTATGTGTTTACAATGCGTGCGTTTCATATATAGGTCGGAGCGTTTAAGAATACCGGTTTAATCGAGGTGGAATTGAGGGTATATCGAGAAATTTGTGCAGTATATAAAGTTCACTGTAGTTCCTTGCGGGAGAGATTCCGCTTAAGTCATTCTGCGACTGTAGTAATTGTACTAGAGCTAAGATAGTGTCGTGGTTTCAAGCAAGGAGGATTGGTGTTGCTGAAAGGCTGCCATGTGATACACTGAGATAAGTAGTGTTGCTGTTGTTTTCCATATTTTGGTGTTATCGTGTAATTACGTACCTCACGTTACACTGGTGTGTGATCGTGGCGGGGAAGGTGTTACGGTGTGGTCGAACTATAATTTATACTGAATGCATAGTGCGTTATGCTGTCCTATTACAGATAATAATTAATTGTGTAAGCAAGAGAGCAAGTCGAACATCCGCTCTCACACTTTTATTATTTTTAACAATTAACGTTATTCTGATGTCTTTCCGAGATCAAAATTGGGATTCTCAGCTCTATCTCTGCCATATGTTTTAGCCAGATAGGCCTGGGTGGTGACCGCGGCACTACACATCACATCTAAACCATCAATGTCGATAACGTGTTACGCCATACGAAGAGGCATTATTGCGTCTAATACGCTTTAAAATAAAAGAATTTATTTTTTAATGCTGAGATGTTATTTATTATGATTCTTTTTCGTTATCCATTAAATTAAAAAAAGACCGTATATTTTTAATACTGTGATAGAAATAGTTTTACACCTTTAGTAAATTACCATCTGGTCCGAATAACATTGTTCTGCCCTCAGGTAGGCGACGCGATGAGTTTCACTTTGAATTCCCTTCCGACTTTTTACAGTACTAATACAAAATTATTAAAACTGTTTTCATTTAAAAGTGTAGTGTTCGCGTAAACATAATAAATCATTATGAGAAAAAAATCCTTCTTTTAACGGTCCTTACAGCCTGATGTAGAGAACGTGTAATTGTATTTATTTGCCTTTTCTAGTTATCCGGTATCATACAAGGAGTCGTTGAATGCTGTGCTGATACAAGAGGCAATACGATATAACAAATTGTTGAACGTAATCGACCACTCTCTGAAGTAAGTTCTTTTACTGGTTTAAATATAAAAACGAAAAACGTTACGTTTTTCGTATTAATCGTAATTTTGTACCAGTAGGTACATCCCTGATGGTAAAGTTAACTTCCATTGGTAAAGTTGCCAGCTTGCTAGACTTGACTGTAATAATAATAATTGGTTCGATAAAAGACATCGTAATTATGACACCCAATCGTAATGTGTTCCTTATAGAGATTCCTAGATAATGATATAAAAAAATAATGTGAACACATTTTACAAATTAGTTTTTATTTATATCCGATGATCAGTTTATATTACAAAAATTATAAAAAAAGAAATGTTTTGGAAAATATTCACCACAAAAGTTTATCGACTATCACGTCATTACACAGCTCATCACAAGCCACTGCTGAACATAGGCCTCCGCCAAGGAATGCTACATAGCAGGGTCTTGAAACACCTGCTTTCACCGACTTCCGGAATGTCTTACAAGGTCGTTACTTCACCTAGTAGGGGGCCGCCCTACATTTCGTTTATCTGCACGTTACGAACGTTTGGAAACAATTTTACCCATTGGTTGTATGTTTTATTTATTTATTTGCTTTTTAAGGAAAACAGTAAAATAATAAAGTACATTATAAAACATAAAAAAGTAATCCTAAAATCCTTCCACAGATATCTAAAAAATAGTAAAGGCTTCATCCATCATCATCATTAAAGCCTTTCACAAATCCACTACTGAACATAGCCCTCAAGGAATGACACAAAGCACGGTCTTGAGCCACCTGCATCCATCGCCTTCCTACATGTCTTAACAGGTCGTCACTCCATCTAGTGGGGGGTCGCCCTACACTTCGCTTACCTACACGGTACGAGGCTGCCACACGAGAACATTTCTTCCCCATCGATTGTCGGTTTTTCGAGCTATATGGCAGACCCAAAAGCTTACTAATCCATTGGACTATGTCGGTCACTCTGGGTCTACTGTGGATATCCTCATTTCTAAGTTTATCACACAGAGAAACTCCGAGCGGGAGGGCTATTTCTCCATAGCTCGCTGAGCAACCTTGAGATTCCTCTAACGGCCAACAGTGAAGGACCACCTCTCAGATCCATAATTTATCACTGGCAACACGCACTGGTTTAACAATCTTGTTTTCAAGTTTTGAGGTATAACTGACGAGAAGATGTGTTGTAGTTTCCCGAACGCTTCCCAGCCGAGTTGAATCCGTCGATTGACCTCTCGGTCGTAGTTGGACTTACCTCCTCTCGTCGTCTCATCAACAACTTCGAGCTTTGTGCTCCCAACAATTACCGGCATGGGTGTGGCATGGACGTTACACATGATCTTTGTTTTGCCCATTTACTTTAAGACCTATCCGTTGGGAGACACTATTTATGTCATTGAGCATAGTTCTTGGGTTTTCCAGCGATTCTGCTATTGAGCTGCCACTGCTCTACGATTGTGAGTTATGTACTCGCCATTGATGTTAATACCTTATCATTTCCAGTCCAGTAGCTTGAAAATTTCTTCCAATGCAGTGGTGAAGAGTTTCGGGGATATAACGTCCCCCTGTCTTTCACCTCTGCAATTGGATTTAGAATTGGTAGCCCTACTGTACAAACACTTCAGTACTTCGATATACTGACAATTAACTTGGCACCGCTTAAGGGACGGCAGCGCTGCCCAAATTTTGATGGAATTGCTTTCCCATAGTCCACATACGCCAGATATAGTGGAATTCTGCACAATTTTCCGAAGGGTATGTATGTCGACTCTCGAAAACAGCACGTAGACGCGGCTCAGAAAGGAAATCGGTCTTTAGTTCTTCACAAGAAGGCGTTGTCGCCTTTCTTGAAGAACAAGAACGTACGTAACGTTTGTCACTCTCATCGTTATGCTTTTAATCATTCCATCAATCCATTACAATCTATAAATGATACGATATCATACATATATACGTTCTACGATACCCACGTTACAATATGGGGTAGTGGATATTCTGATATCGCCACTACACATGTCCACGTTTTAATAGTTCACACAAAAGATTTACTGATGTATATCTAAACTATAGGAGTGTACGTCGGTATACATACAGGCCGATGAATATCTGTTACCGATTAATTTTAACAGGGATTTGCTGAAAGCTTTGAAGGGCCTTGTTGTAATGTCGGAGGCGTTGGAGAGTATGGCAGGGAGTCTTACACGGCAAGCGGTCCCGACAATGTGGAGCTCTAAGGCTTATCCCTCGCTCAAACCGTTAGGTAAGATTGTTTTTGTTTACATAAACAATTATAACATAGAATTAGGTTCAAATAAAAAGTCATTCAAGTAGAGCACCGAATCTGAAATCCGAGTTTACTTTGAAGAGGTAAGTTTGTAGGATGATTTTACAAACAAACAAGATAATATTCAACTGAATGAAAATTGTGTAAATGTTTCAAAAAATAGTTTTTTTTTTTAAGTGAAAACTTCTTTAGAATCGTTGTAATTTGAAACTCGATTAAACGATAAAAAGAGACAAACATATGTACATATGTATAGGATTTTGCCTGCGGTAAAATGAGATAGAATACAGTATAAAATATTTGCTATTATATCTTGGTTTCTTCTTTAAAGATATTGATATAACTTTTTGTTGTTAAATTAAACAGAATTAAACAAATTAACAAAGAAGACAGTTTCTTTTTGTATGAAGAATGGGGCAACCACTAATTCTGTAACCTAATGAAACGCCTGTCGATTAATTCCCTATCATCTATAGATTACAGTAGTAATATTAGTTTAATCGTAGCTAACGGGAATACTGAGAAATTAGCAGTTCAAATATGAATTTTGTACGTGATAGAGCCAAGCTGCAGCTATATTAGTAGTATAGTTGTAGCACGAATGGGTCGGCTCGACCGGGGAAGGACCACGCTCTCACAGAATACCAGCTTAAAATAGCAGCTCAACACTGCTGTGTTTCGTATGGTGAGTGTAGAGAACCGGAGACCCTTTTTACTGCCAAAGAAGCATTCCATCTTAGTCCTCACGGGTGACAACGCATCTGCATTTTGATTCGCAAACGATGATAAATGTAGATGTCTATGGGCCACAGCAGCCACTTACTATCAGGTGGACTGTGTGCTCTGTTACAAATCAAAATGTAGATGCGTTGTCACCCGTGAGGACTAAGATGGAATGCCTCATTTCCAATAAAAAGGGCCTCCGGCCACCTGCACTCACCAAGCGAAACGCAGAGGTAAACCGCTACTTCACGCTGGTTTTCTGTAAGGTCGTGGTACTACCCCGGTTCGAGCCGGCCCATCCATGCGACAGCAAAAGCTGCCGCGTGGCTCTACCACTGTTAAAAAATTATCGTATCCATTCCATTCATGACAACTTACAGATTTAAATAAAATTAGTCGTGTTTAGACCATATATCGTCTACTTTACATACCACCTTGAGGGTCAATAATGTTTTTTATCAATCAAATGACTTTACCTGTTGATTGAAGTGTGTGTAAAGTGTAAACGGTGAATGTGGTTTTTCCCAAGAATTTAAATGTACTGAGGTAAGTATGGGAGCTAACAACGTCGGAAAAGCGAGAAGTTTAGGTAGGCTATAATACTACTATACTATATCTATGCTATTGTTCTGTAGTTAAATAACATTGTGATAAATTTCAGCTATACTAAAATCTTTGGTACACAATGATAAAAATGTCTGGCAATAAAATATTAATGTTTAGAATAAATAAATAAAATTAATGAAAAGTAAAAAATCCTTCTTAAAATTATTTGGATAATTATTATTTTAGCTCTACAGGTATTACGCGCACTAATGTACTCAACCTCCACCGCCAGCCCGATAGTCCGTATGCTGGCCGGGAGAGTGAGAGGGAAGGCATAATATCTAAAAACTAGCCTACCTGAAATGCTCCCTCGAAAACGTTGCTATCTCTTAGACCAGGTGGTATAAAAATTGAAATTGTTGGATCCAATAAAATACCGTAATTTAGGTAAATACGTGTATTGAGCTAGGTAGCAAAACTAATGACAAACAGGTTGACTTAACTAACACTATTTCTTAACAATAATATGCAAATACACACCTTCATAACTATTTAGGACAATCCATGATATAGCAGTAATCATGATCAAAATTTAATAAATAATGTATCAATATAAGTTATTCTTTTCTAATGATAAATTTACTTGTAGTATGTGTTCAGGTGTGGAAATTCAACCGTAGTTTATGAAATTTTGCAGTTCGTGCAATAAATACTCTTTATTTCACTTTATATGTATTATCTATGCTTTCAACTGCACATATAAAAACACAGATATCTAAGTTACAAAATATAAACTAAACGGTTTTTGCCTTGACATACACTCCACAGACTATTGAAAATCTGTCCGCAAATAAATATTTTGTTGGCAATATTTTAACAATTCTTTGGCGTGAATCTCTACTCTATGTGACTGTTTGACAATATACTATTATGGTTTTGACATTGAGAGTACGAACGTAAACGATAAACGTTTAATTTTTTAACCTCACAGATCCCGACATAGTATCGGATCAACTCTGTCAAACCTGTGGTCAGGTCAAGGTCAATATTTGTATGATTCTTAAAACCAGGCTCTATCAACTAATGTATGGGAACCTATGCAGCATTAATTACAGCGCCATTGAATAAACTATGTTGGCTTCGCAGATCGATGTAGCACTTGACACACCGTGTAGATGACGCTGTTACAGATTTATTTCATTAGTAAAAAACAACTAATTCTAACAAAATTTTTAGAATTTTAGTTGTATAATTCTTATGAACAATATTTAAAAATAATTCATCCGAGTGAAACGACTGGGACTCCACATATTAATTTAATGTATTTTTTATAGGATAAGAGTGACAAACGCGTACACAGTCCACCTGATGGTAAGTGGTTGCTGTGACCCATAGACATCTACACTTATCCTCGATTACGAATCAAAATGCAGATGCGTTGTCACCCGTGAAGACTAAGATGGAATGACTCGTTTCCAGTAAAAAGGGTCTCCGGTTCTCTACACTCACCTTACGAAACACAGCAGTATTAAGCTGCTATTTTACGCTGGTATCCTGTGAGAGCGTTGTCCTTCCCCATTCCATTCGTGTTACAACTATACCAGAAATATAGCTGAAATATGGCTCTGCCACGTACAAATTTGTAGCAGATGTATTTATTATATATAAATTATAGCTTTCTGCATTTCTTCTTCATTTAATCTTTAACTATGCCAAATCCCACACTACACTACTAATTTTCTCTCAACGTATTATAAAACTTATTATTAAGAATATGAAGATCTTTGTCTGAAAATGTCTAAAAGACGATACTGTTTTCGGATGTCTTCTTGTTAATTTGATATTTCTTCTGTATAAGGTGCCTGGGTCAAGGATCTTTGTCAACGCGTGCACTTCATGCAACAGTGGGCTGAAGGTGGAATTCCGAAAGTTTTTTGGATCTCTGGCTTCTACTTCCCGCAGGCGTTCCTCACCGGTGCTTTGCAGAACTACGCGAGGAAACACGTCATCGCTATCGACACAGTTTCTTATGCCTTTGAGGTTTGTTTTTTTTTCAGTATTTTTCTTAAATATGGGTCTTATTCTTCACTAGCTTATACTAAAGTTGACCACAGATATTTTCTAAGGTAAGGTTTGACGGGGTACAGCTACGCTGCAGCTATGACCGGGGCAGGAAGGTAGGACCGTCGGAGTAGGCAGTACCACGCTCTTACATAAAAACGTCGTTTCATAAAATAGCAGCTTAATGCTGCTGTGTTTCATATGGTAAGTGTATGAGAAAATACCTTTTTCTGCTGGTATCAAGGCATTCTATTTTTTTTTATAGAATAAGGGTGACAAACGAGCATACAGTCCTGTAAGTGGTTGTTGTGGCCCATAGACATCTACATCTATCTTCGTTTTCGAATTAAAATGGAGATGCGTTGTGACCCCTGAGGACTAAGATGGAATGCCTCGTTCCCAGTAAAACGGTTCTCCGGTTCTCTATACGAAACACAGCAGCATTAAGCTGCTGTTTTATGCTGGTATTCTGTAAGAGCGTGGTCACCGTGATGGTTTTAGTGCTTAGGGGTGGCAAAACATTTTGATTCTTAATCGATGGTAGATATAGGTGTATATGGGCCACGTGATCCACTTAAAATCGGGTGGAATCGCTGTACTTGCCAATCTTGGTAGGTGTACTGGCAATTGTAGTAACATATGAGAAGAAAGAGCTTTGGCATCGAAGACGTTGCTTTTCGACTTCATCGGTCAGAGTGATTTGCACTGTCAAATACAAACAGTTTTTAATAGGTTTTCCCATGAAGTAGTTTGTACGATACTTATAGGAAGAAATAGAAAGATTTTTGTTTATTAATAATAAAAGGGATAATCGAGCTTACGGATCACTTGATGGTAAGTGACTACCGCCGCTCATGAACAGATGCAACACCAGGATAATTGTAGGTGCGTTGTCGGCTTTTTAAACATGATTAGGCTCTTTTCTTGAAGGTCCCTAAATCGTATAATAATATGAAGATTAGCTTCAGGCAAAAAAACTAGTTTGGAACATTTTTGCGGATTTTATCACGTTTAATAAATGTTTTTATGTTCCGAACGTTTCAGATGGCAATTAGGCCCATGGTTGTACTTTTAGCATTTAATTATAAATTTGTTCCAATTTGCCCAGAATAAGCTTACAATATCACAAAATAGATATTTTTTTTAAAATTTAATATAGATTTAGATAAGTAATTTTTATTGAAAGCATTTTTGTTACTTTTAAATCATTTTTTCAAAGTAAAATTTTACAACGAAATACAGGTTGTACACACTACTTGAAAATCTTATTTTGTAAACAACTTTGAAGTGAGCACCTTTCCCAGGGGTTATTAACAACTATTAATTTATTTTTATTATAATAATATCTCAACTCTTTTTATACAGTTATTGTTTAATAAAATATTTAAACTTTGTAATAGAGATACTTTGTATATTTTCTGGGACTTTGTTGTAATAACGTATACATTGCCCTCTGGATGAATTACTGACTGAGTCGAGAAACATATCACTAGCATGTGTTTGTTCAGTGCTCGGGATTGGATTTAACTTTACTCGCAAATTCCAGGAATTTCGGTAAGTTTGCAGACTGTGAACATCTTCAGGATTGTCACCGCCATTAAAATCTTTATGACACCATTAAAACCTTTGATAAACTACAAATCCTCGCAAGACAACACCCGTGCTTATCAAGGATGAATACAAGAAAATATAATGGAAGAGAATAGAATTGAATAATTTTTATTTCATATAAATTACATAATACTTCCATTACAGCCTATAAAAGTCCACTGCTGAACATAGGCCTCCTTCATGGGTTGCCTCGTGAGGGAATTGTGTCATAGTTGCCACGCTTCGTTAAGCGGGTTTATCATTTTGCCTCTGTCGCCTTTTACGACGACTTCGGGACGATATGGGTTAGCAATATACTTACACTGCCACTATACGGTTAAACTAAATATTACACCTATTGAAAACCATTTTTTATTTACCACTGGTTCGGAAAATACTACTGTCCTAGAAGGAACCAGCAAGAAGAAGCTGCGTTGGATTCAGACCCTCAAAAATATTGAACATCGAAAATAAAATTATATTTACTATTATAATTAATAGAATCAGGCGTTACTTAGCGGAAATCCATTACATAAAAGCTTTTAGAAAAATTTACTTCGCAAATATCCGCGTTATAAAATAAAATGATGTGTCTTACCTAGTATGAAGAGCACCTCCCGCCCTCCCTCAATTGCGTGCACTATCCCCGTCACCACTAATCCCAGCACGGTGGCTAACCGCTAAAGCGGTTAGCGGTTAGCCACCGTAGAATCTATATCACCTGAGGATGCCTCGTGTAGAGGCAAAACACGTGTCGTATTATCGTCAGTGGTGTGTCTTGCCTAATGTAGTGGTGTTGGGAGTAGCGGTCCTGGGATTAGTGGTGACGGGGATAGTGCACACAATTGAGGGAGGACGGGAGGTGCTCTTCATACTAGGTAATGCACATAATTTTATCTTATAACGCGGATATTTGCGAAGTAAATTTTTCTAAAAGCTTTTATATTTACTATTTTTCCAAAATTGTAACACACTGTTTTTTTTCCCATATGCCGGGGTTTTTGCGTCACGCGTCTAGCGTAACTATACGTTTCATTTTTCAGCGTTTTTGTTTTGAATTGAAATAATATTACATTACGATATCTTGTTCATAACAAATTCAAAAATATTGCTATGAACAGCCAGAACGACTGGGATAGTATCTTATGAAGAATTCTCGCTTACCTTGTCGTTGCCTGATTTGGTGTCGCCGAACATACAGAAACTCTCGATATTCTAGGGTAAATATTAAAAAGTAAAACGACCACCAATAATTAAGGGTCTTTAATTAAGCGCTTCTTTAATCTTTAATTTATAATATATGAAAAATGTTATTGATCACTATTATAAATAATTTGAGAATGATTTAATTATAAATTAATATCTATGTTCCCTACAGCTGCTACTTAGTTATGTGCATGTTTTTATTGTCTTGGTTATACATTTTCTTTAAGTATTATTTTTTGTGACATGTTTCTTTATAAGCTATTGTAGCTCTGCCCTGTCTTAATTTTTATAGTATTTTGTAATGCTGTGTCATCTATAAGGGTGCACACATCAGTTCCTAGATTAAGCCCACTTTCAATTAAATGTAATAATGTGTGCACTGCTGGTGTCCTATGAATAAATAAATAAATTTAAATAAAACAAAGTGTGTGCGAGATATCATTGAAATTTTTTATTCGTTTGAAAGACCAATCTATGCCGTTGCGTATGGAATATAACATCATTCAAATGTCCGCCACGGCTTCTGTGGGTGGAGCGCATCTGAAATGTCCAATTTTCCATGACTCTGGCGCATAAATCAGGTTGAATTTGACCGATTGCATGGGTTATGTTGGCTTTGAGTGCCGCTGTGGTTTGTGGATTATTCGCATAGACCTGAGATTTAAGAAAACCCCACAAGAAAAAGGCTAATAGGGTCAAATCGCGGTGGCCAGTTGACATAACTTCTACGTGAGATGACCATGCCTTCAAATCGCTCGTGCAGAATATCCAATGTGGCGTGAGCTGTGTGGTATGTAGCGCCGTCCTGTTGAAACCACATGGCGTTGGTGTCCAGATTATCTAATTCAGGTCAAAAAAAGTTGGTAATCATTAACCTATAGCACTCGCCGTTGACAGTGATCGCCTGGCCAACGTCGTTCTCAAAGAAATATGGACCGATGATCCCGCCAGCCCAAAATTCACACCAAACAGTGACTTATTTGGGATGCATTGGACGCTTTTGGATCTCATGTGGATTGGCATTGTCCCAAATTTGACAATTTTGTTTGTTTACGAACCCATTCGTCCATAAATGAGCCTCATCCCTGAAGAAGATTTTTCGATGAAAATTAAGATCAGTTGCTGACTGCTCCAGAATCCATTCAGTGAACAGACGTCGTTGTCTATGGTCGTTTACCTTTAGTCCCTTGGTCAGTTGAATTTTGTACGGGTGTAGGCTCAAGTCACGACGCAAAACTCGCCAAGTGTTGGTCTGCGAAAGGCCGAGATCTTGTGAGCGACGCGAAATCGACTGCCTTGGATTCTTCCGCACACTCTCACAGACAGCAGCAATGTTTTCGGCCGATCTTGCGTTTCGTCAACGTACGGGTATTGGTCGATCGTTTACTAAGCCAGTGGACTCAAATTTATCCACCATACTGCGAATAGTCCTCTTGGTAGGACGATTATGGCGACCGTAAAAAGGGCGAAGGGCGCGGTAGTATGCCCGAACGGAACACCCATTTTGATAAAACGATTTTATTGTTTCCACGTGTTGTTGAATGCTGTATCCGTTCATGGGATTTGACAAAACAGACTAAATAAATGACAACTAATTTGACATATGTAGTTTCAACAAGATGGCCGCTATTAACCGTCAAAGATCGGAAGTCCTTACTGGAAGACCCTTTACAAGTCGGCTGACCTGAAGATAAAATTATGTTATTTTCGTGAAATATAGTGGCATAGTAAAGTATAAAATTAAGCACCAACACCCCAACATGAGGAACTAAATTACTCATACTAAATGTGTTTTTTATTTTTGTTTATTATTTATTTTATTTATTACGACACTACATACTACTCCACATGAGTAATTACTAATTACTTCGAAATCCAGCCCTGGTTATGTCGTCGACCAATGCAACGCGGCATTCGTGTAGTTCGTATGTGCTATAACAGATGGTGCTACTTTTGCTTGTATGACGAAAATATAAGTAAAATGTTTAGATGGGCGCATCCTACCTTTTGAAGTCATTGCTCCGAGAGATGACTACATGTGTCTGCCATTTGCTATAGAGACTATCGGTCCGTGGGTTCCACGTGCGGTGAAGTTCCTAAAGGAACTGTATCTGCGACTGGTCATCCCTGCTGGTGATAATAGGGCTGTTTCTTTCCTTGCTCAAAGGCTAAAGATAGCCATTCAGCGAGAAAACACTGTTAGTGTTCTTGGCACGTTACCATCAGAGTAGAAATATATGATAATTTAATTTCTTAGTTTTTTTTTATAGACTATGAGTGCCAAATGAGCACACAGTGAACCTGATGATAAGTGGATGCTATGGCCCATAGACATCTACTTTCTACATGTATCCCTGATTAAGAATCAAAATGCATATGCGTTGTCACCCCTGAGGCCTAAGGTGGAATGCGCCATTTCCAGTTAAAAAAGTCTCCGGATCTCTACACTCACCATATGAAACACAGCAGCATTAAACTCCTACTTTAAGCTGGTATTCTGTGAGAATCACAATGTTATGTAAATAAATTATATTAAATATATATAATTTATAAAAATATGTAAAAATATTTTAATATAAAAAACCTTACAACAGCCCCTGGCAAGTCCGCCGAGTAAGAGGCCAGAAGACGGGTGTTGTGTCCGCGGTCTATTCCTAGAGGGTGCGCGCTGGAGCGTCGCCGACATGGCGCTGGAGGAGAGCCGCGCTAAGGAACTGTACACAGGTGCTGGCTTTCATCATCATCACAACAGCCTAGAAGTCCACTGCATAGGCCTACCCATAGATTGCCTTATAGGATATTTGTCGTATTTGCTTGTGTGCTTGTTTTCACTCTGTTCCCTTTTGCGCACCTATAAGGTAATATGGAGTAGTGGCTTAACTTATGCTGCCACTTACAAGGTACTTTACTGCTCATTTTTATCTATTTAATTTATTTATAGTATATACATTAATTCATTGATTCCCTGTCCCCTGAGCTAGTATAACTGTTTTTCAGCAACAGGTTCCTCCCCTTAATCCTAGACAAAAAGGTCATGATATCTGAAAGCACAAACATCACAGAAACTAGATGATGACTCATAACTATCTCTATTTAACTATTTATAGTAAATTTTGTTCCTATTAAAGAGTTAATCGACCAGAATTTTTGAACGAAAACAATATCTAACGACTTTTTCAATTTTCTTTTCCTTCGTCAAGTTTTTAGTTTAACACAAATAAGTATATTATGTAGGCCTATGTTTAACAGTGGAGTTGTGAAGGGCTGTAATGATGATGAATATTAGGTTTCATTATGTTTCAATAGAGAATCGCAAATGAGTACACAATTCATTAGGTTTCTTTCAATGAACTCGTGTGGTAGCCAAATATTGAACTTATTGTATAGCCAGACTTTTTAAATGGGTCAAAACTGTTTTATTTTGAATCCTCAATTCCTCGGCTATGTCGTTACTACTAATATGCCGATCTTGCTCCACTTTTTCAATAATGAAATATACTTTATCCGAATGAAGGCGACTAGAGCAAGCTGCATCTTTGACTGCAATTTTGTGGTACTCTTACTGACACTGCATTGGGCCTACAAAGGTCACAATTTTTTTTCGCGGCTTGAGTCGCACTTTTCCCTTTTTTGTATTAAAACTTCAGAATGTGTACAATTTCTTCGTTAGATTCACATTTTGGCGGACAGAAAAACAATTGAAATATGGCAGTAAAGTGTTTTTTACTTTTTATGTTTCTTTTTCTTGATGTCTTTCATTAAAACCAGCCAGACACAGTACAAACAAAAAGATTTTATACAAAGAAAATACGAAGAAACCATTTCCCCGACCTATTATATGTATTCATAGTACTATATATATACATAATACAGACATACACAACTTATATATAATAATAATAATAATGTCTCTCAGGCTGAATTTCGGTCACAGCATTACATTGCCCGAATGTGTGTACAAGCACATGTGCTCTCTCTATTCCCTTATTCTCTTATTGCAATGGGACGGTAAACCGACAGAACCGAGGAGATATTAGGCGCAGGACTGACAACGTTTCTAGATGCTTTCCGAGGCACGGGGGTGAGGCACAGCCAACTTTCTAACTCCGGACTACTACTTAAAAATGTCACGTCAGAAAAACTCAACAATAGATCTTGACCCGACCCGTGATTCGAACCTGAAACCCCAAGATCATCAGTCTCCTTTACGACAACTAGGCCAACGAAACAGTCATGCATATAACGTAAATAAATATACATATACACTACATATGCTCAAATATGTCATCATAAAAATTACCTTCACAGAAATGGCCATCATCTATATGAAGCCGGAGCAAGGTCACAAACTTCAGCAGGGACTGTACGAGTGCCCAACATACAAAACCCTGCTTCGTGCCGGCACTCTGTCTACCACGGGCCACTCCACCAACTACGTGATGACCATAGAACTGGCTACGCACAAGCCACAAGCGCATTGGATCAAACGCGGAGTCGCACTCTTTTGCGCTTTGGACTATTAATTATGCTAGAAGGCTAGAATCGAATTTCGAAACATTTCTATGCTTGTTAAATCATGATTTATAGTTGTTTGAATAGAAAATATTTAATTAAGTTGCGATTATATTATAAATCGAGTTTTTGCTAATCGGGATTCGAAACATTTCTATTTTTGTTAAAAAGTATTTATAGTTGTCTGATTAGAATATATTCCATTCAGTTGTAATTAAATTATGAAGCGATTTCTTGCTAATTCAATTATCTCAGCCTTGTTTAACGAATTATTAAGTACTTAATTAGGTATGCTAGAAGACTATAAATCAGTAAGTATTCGAAACATTACTATTCCTGTTAAAAATAATTTATAGTTTTCTGAATAGAAGTTATTTAATTTTATAGTTTGCAATTATATTATGAATATATTTCTTGTTAATTTTAGTCGACTATGATTATTGTTTAACTTAATGAGTTCACTATAATTAACTCGGTTTTGTGTTTATTGAGTAAGTAATCTACTTATAATTAAATATAACACATTAAATTATTATAGTTATTTGTTAGTTTTATTATGACCTTCTCCTTTAGTAAAATCTGTTACAGTCTACTTTGTAAAGATGTTCTTCACGATAGTAAAAGACTGCGGTTGCCGACTCGCCTGCTAAGAGTGCTAGTATGGCAAAATCCCTCCTATGAGAACCTGAAGGTGAGAATATGTATTGAATAAAACTATTTTTACGGATTTTATCGCGTTTAATTAACGTATTTTATATTCCCGACGTTTCGGTTGCTTTCCAGCAACCGTGGTCACGGGGGACTAAGGTGATTGACGTCGTGATGTCAGCGTTAAACCGGAGTACCTTCAGCTTTTTTAATTAATAATTTTGGTCCGATCTACGCAGAATGAACTAACTGTGTCTTGAAGTCTTGCAGTGGTATGCTTGGGTTTAGTTATAATTTTATTACAGGATCCCAAGCAGGTGGTAGTACCCAGCCTCCCTCTCTATTGAAATTAGGATGTTTCTTAATTTCACTAGCCTCGCGTATCATCCTTGGCAGGAATCGATGTTCTTTCGCGAGAATTTGTGGTTTATCAAATCGAATGTAATGGCGGGGGCCGTCTAGGATATGATCAAAAACTGCAGACTTCCCGGAACGTTGGTGCTTCACGTCAGCTATGTGTTCTTTTACGCGGGTTTTTATAGATCGTTTTGTTTGCCCTATATATGAGAGACCACACTCACAATCAAGCTTGTACACTCCTGCATCTTGTAGAGGAATATTGCACTTGACGGATGGTAAGAACTGACTAATCTTCTTCGGCGGCTTGAAGAATGTTCTAATAGAAGCTCGCTTCAAGATATAGTCAATCTTGTCTGTGACACCTCTGACATACGGTAGTACAGCAGGCACACGCTCGACTGTGGCCGGCTTCACTCGGTCACTGTGCCGTAGGCGCGGAACCCGAAGCTTGTTGTCGTGCAGAACCTGCTTGACGTGCTGAAGCTCGGCGGCCAGGTGTTTGCTGTCACAGATCCCTCGTGCTCTCTGTAAAAAAGATTTGCCCACGGTGGCTAACTGTGAAGGGTGATGGTGGGATTCACCGTTTAAATATCGGTTTGTATGGGTCTTTTTTCTATACACAGTGTGACCTATGGTATTATCAGGATTTCTAATGACTAACACATCTAGGAAAGCTAAAGAATTATTTGCCTCTAAATCCATAGTAAATTGAATTTTAGAGTTTATGGAATTAAGATGTTCTAAAAATGCAGTTACTTTGTCTGATGGTAAAATTGTGAAAGTATCGTCTACGTACCGCTTGTAGAAACTTGGAGTTACTGGTGCAGTAAGCAGGGCTTTCTCCTCAAAGTCCTCCATGAAAATATCGGCGACAATGGGAGATACTGGTGAGCCCATCGCAACACCATCTACTTGCTTGTAAAACTGTTCCTTCCACAATAGATAGCCAGATGTAAGGCAATGTCTGAGTAATACTGCATATTCTGCTGGCATGTTATTTTCCGCTAGTTTCCTAGTTACAATTGAGATGCAGTCTTCAACAGGTAGGCATGTAAATAGAGACTGAACATCAAAACTGACCATAGTTTCATTGTCAGTAAGACATAGGTCTTTTATCTCACTGACAAAATGGTATGAATCCTTCGTGTGTGCTCTTGTGTGTCCTCTGAGTGGTGTCCTTTTGCTAGGTGTTGAGCCAATTTGTAAGTTGGCGAATCGATCTGACTCACTATTGGACGTAATGGAGCATTCGGTTTGTGTATTTTTGGTAACCCATACAACTTCGGTGGTTTCGCACACGCAGGTATTATCGAATTAACGTCTAGATTCAATTTCTCGGAGTATTTCTTTATTAGATCGCTAGTTGTTTTATGCGTATTAGTTGTAGGGTCTGTTTTGACCTTTACGTACGTACTTTCATCCGATAAAAGTTGTTGTATTTTAAAATTGTAATCCGCCGTATCCATTATAACCGTAGCATTACCTTTATCTGCGCGGAGAATCGTAAGATCTGGTCTGTTGCGTAAGTTTTTCAGTGCAATAAATTCATCTTTGGGAAGATTTAATTTCGGCGCTGAGCTTCAACGTAACAAGGACGAAATGTCTTGACGTATGGCCTCTACATCTTCATTACCAATATTATTTTTATACAGACAGTCCTCAATACTACAGATAATTACTTACATCTGGCTATCTATTGTGGAAGGAACAGTTTTACAAGCAAGTAGATGGTGTTGCGATGGGCTCACCAGTATCTCCCATTGTCGCCGATATTTTCATGGAGGACTTTGAGGAGAAAGCCCTGCTTACTGCACCAGTAACTCCAAGTTTCTACAAGCGGTACGTAGACGATACTTTCACAATTTTACCAACAGAAAAAGTAACTGCATTTTTAGAACTTAATTCCATAAATCTTAATTCCATAAACTCTAAAATTCAATTTACTATGGAGTTAGAGGCAAATAATTCTTCAGCTTTCCTAGATGTGTTAGTCATTCGAAATCCTAATAACACCGTAGGTCACACTGTGTATAGAAAAAAGGCCAACCGATACTTAAACGGTGAATCCCACCATCACCCTTCACAGTTAGCTACCGTGGGCAAATCTTTGTTGCAGAGAGCACGAGGGATCTGTGACAGCAAACACCTGGCCGCCGAGCTTCAACACGTCAAGCAGGTTCTGCACGACAACAAGCTTCGGGTTCCGCGCCTACGTCACAGTGACCGAGTGAAGCCGGCCACAGTCGAGCGTGTGCCTGCTGTACTACCGTATGTCAGAGGTGTCACAGACAAGATTGGCTACATCTTGAAGCGAGCTTCTATTAGAACATTCTTCAAGCCGCCAAAGAAGATTAGTCAGTTCTTACCATCCGTCAAGTGCAATATTCCTCTACAAGATGCAGGAGTGTACAAGCTTAATTGTTAGTGTGGTCTCTCATATATAGGGCAAACAAAACGATCTATAAAAACCCGCGTAAAAGAACACATAGCTGACGTAAAGCACCAACGTTCCGGGAAGTCTGCAGTTTGTGATCATATCCTAGACGGCCCCCGCCATTACATTAGATTTGATAAACCACAAATTCTCGCGAAAGAACATCGATTCCTGCCAAGGATGATACGTGAGGCTATTGAAATTAAGAAACATCCTAATTTCAATAGAGAGGAAGGCTGGGTACTACCACCTGCTTGGGATTCTGTAATTCATAAAATTAAAACCAAACCCAAGCATACCACTGCAAGACTTCAAGACACAATTAGTTCATTCTGCGTAGATCGGACCAAAATTATTAATTAAAAATGCTGAAGGTACTCCGGTTTAACACTGACATCGGGACGTCAATCACCTCAGTCCCCCGTGACCACGGTTGCTGGAAAGCAACCGAAACGTCGGGAATATAAAATAAGTTAATTAAACGCGATAAAATCCGTAAAAATAGTTTTATTCAATGTGTAGTGTTCGCGTAAATATAAGAAATCATTGTGAGAATATGTAATTTCAAAAGTTAAGTTACAGCAAATTAATATATGTCCCATTACTGAGCACAAGTCTCGCTGCCCCAATGCGTTTTCCTTCACCGCTGAGTACGTGGTAAATGTAATTTTAATAGGCTGCAATGATAGATTGACAAGCTTATGGTTGTTGAATTTTTCCTACATACTCTATATATCTCATACATACTTACGAGGTAGAGCCATGCTTTACGAGGTAGAGCCATGCTGCAGCTATGTTATGGTTGTTGCACGAATGGGTCGGCTTGACCGGGGAAGGACCACGCTCTCACATAATACCAGCGTTAAATAGCAGCTTAACGCTTACGTATTTCGTATGGTAAGTGTAGAGAACCGGAGAACCATTTTACTGGAAACGAGGCATTCTATCTTTGTCCTCACGGGTGACAACGCGTCTGCATTTTGATTCGTAATCGAAGATAGATGTAGATGTCTATGGGCCACAGTAACCACTTACCATCAGGTGGACTGTGTGCTCATTTGTCACCCTTATCCTATTAAAAAAATACTCGTATTAAATACGGAAAAGCTCGTTTGCTTTTCCGTATTTAATATTTTTTACAATCGACTTCAATATAAATTATTAAGGATAACTCAAAAACTACTAGTCAGACTTTCAAATTTATATGAGACTATCTGAGAAGAACCAGCTTTTGAATAAAAAAAGAATCATTAAAATCGGTTCACTTAGAAAGTTATGAGGTAACATACATATAAAAAAAGAATACAGTCGAATTGATTACCTCCTGCTATTTGAAATCGGTAAAAAAATGATATGCAGCTAAAAGTGGTTATGTTGAAGGAATGAGAGTTGCGTGGTTGTTTAAATTTGGAGAATTAATGTGAAATCAAAGCGTTACCATAATATATTATTGCAAATATATTTTAGTTTGTTTTGTTATTAGAACGGCTCCGTACTGCAGTGGCATAGCTCAATGCTAAGCCATTGCCAAAGAGAATATAATCACTACATTGTCCAATGCGGCACGGCGGGCGTTGCAGCGATGAGGGCCGAATTTTCGTATCCTGCACGGAACAAGTACTTGCCCGTAATCGTTCCGGGTCTGGGCGTTTGTCCTTGTGCAATTTATGTATGTAAACTACCTTCACTACACAGGAGAAAATATTTGTGTGGGGATAATGTTTGTTTTTATAATGAGAAAACCATGTTTTGGTTATACATATTTTGTTTTTTTTCTTCTATATTATGTCATGGAAGATTTTTCAGCACAACACGACACACTATATTTACATTAATATATCATTTGCTATTACCAAATTACAATATCTAATATGGTATATTATATAATAACGTATTAATAGAGTACATTCCATAACTACCAGCCAAACCCACTTTCACACCTGTAATTCCAATACAGGGCAGTCCACCAGCCAAACTAACTTAAATGAAGGCTTACTTATAAGTCATTCTAACGTAACTTAACCTTCAAAAGTACAAAGTGAACACTAAAAACTTTAAGTGATATTTTGTATTTTATTTAGGTAGCCGTTCTGATATTCGTTTAATTAATATTCCATATACGACCCTACTTTGTTGTAGGTATACCATTAAAATGTAGTAACACTAAACATCCGCTCCGGCTTCGCACAAGCGAAAACCTAAATCTAAGCCATCCGGGAACCCACTTAAACACATACAAAAATTTCATCAAAATCTATCCAGGTAGGAGAGGAGTTATGTAACACAAGTACGCGTATAACATTGATCTGCGAATTTGGCTTTTTCTATTACAGACGCGGTCTCTTAGGTACCTTTAAGTATCTTTCTTAATATGTTACCAATATAAAAAGGTCCGATAGGTTACTTAACTAGCTTCTCATAAACAATTGAATGGAAATACGGTGGGATCACAAACGAATTTAGTCCGCCTGATGATAAGTGGCAACTGCATTTCATGGACACCTGTAACTTAGGACTTGCAAGCTGAAGTGGCAATGGGCCGGCCATATAACTCGAAGAACCGACAATCGATGGGGAAGAAAGGTTCTCGAGTGGCGACCTCGTACCGGCATATCAGTGTAGTATATGAGTTATAATTATACGCATGTACCTAACGAAAGGCTAATTAGGTGAATGACGTGATTGGAACTAATATATAATATTGCACCGCAAGTGTAGGGCGTCCTGGAGTGACGACGATGCAGGCTCGGGACTGTGTTTTGCGGCATTCCTTAGGGGAGGCCTCTGTTCAGCATTGAATTTGAGTAGGGCTGTAATAATGATGATTATTTTGAACACGCTGATTAATCAAGTGCTGGGCGATGAAGAAAAAATTGTAAAGAAATAATAAGTTGTCTATATAACAAATATATTTCTAGAATATGACGTGTATCTGCCAACACTCACTGAATAAGAATGGTGGACAAATTGCTCCAAAACTTCTTAGGAAAGGAAATGAAGGGAGGCTTTTGTCCAGCTGTTTGTTTGTATGTAGACTTCGACTCTACTCTTTTCCATGGTAGAGCCACGCTGCAGCTATATTATAGTTACTCGGCTCAACCTGAGACTGCTGTCAGAGAACCAGCGTAAAATAGCAGCGTTATGTGTTGCTGTGTTTTGTATGGTGAGTGTAGAGAACCGGAAAGCATTTTATTGGATACAAGGCATTACATCTTAAATCCTCAAGGGTGACAACGCATCTGCATTTTAAATTGTAATTGAGGATAAATGTTGATGTCTACGGACCACATTATTCACTTACCATCAGGTGGACTTTGTGCTCGTTTGTCCTTTTTCTATAAAAATAAATATAACCATTTTACTATTATAATCCAATAAAATAATAATGTACATTAAAAAAAAATTAAGACTAAATTCAAGCATGACAGAGACAAGCGGTTGTAGTCAGTTCTCTTCATTTGCCTTTTGTGTTTAAGTTACGCCTAAATGATGTTTATGCTAAACAGCTCCTCACTTAAAATTGGTTTGTATTCTTTATAATTTAATTACCAAAAATATACCGTACATTATAATATCAAGTTGATGATTTTATTTAGTTAAGTTTATTTCTGTGAAAAATCCGTAGTGTATTTCTTATATATACGCGAAC